TATTTAGATCCAATAAATCTACCATGTAAGTGAAAAATGAAAAATGTAAAACATCTCTGGGGAAGATCACAGAAGTTTTCAAATCTAATTAACCATCCAACACTATTACTGGCCTCTACTTCCGTGTTTGATATCTGACATTATCGCACATGCGTGGCATCTTACGGTGCCACATGTGGGTGACATCATTCCACATTCAGCCCGAATATAGCGGCCAAAACTCTTAGGAGTCGAGAGGAGGGAGAATGGTTTACACCGCCCACAAGTGCCTCATAGAGTAACCGGATAACTCTCCCATCCCATGCTTACCACGATCGTTACAAAATCCTGTTTATATGTCCATATTCTTTCATATCTATCTGAGCACATTCTTAAAATTCAGTTACATAGACCGGATTTATACAGTTATGGGATAGGGTACAGGTTACATTCAATAGCCATAAATGACATAAACCATTAACAGAAATATTTGAACACATATTTTACAAAACTATAAGTGTATATATTGAGGCTAAGGGGCATGATGACGTGAGACTTACAATACGAGAGAGATTGGAGACTGGTGACACTGCACACAATGGTTGGAAGGTTGGGAAAACCAGCAGAAATTGGCAAGAAAAACAAAAAGGGGATCTTAAGACTCTGCTAAAATATTTAGAATCCTAAAAGGGGAGGATAAAGAGGAGGGATTTTGAAATATAAAAGACACCCATTGCTTAAAAGTGAGCAAGAAATATTTATACTGTTCATCTGACTTGTGCATTGTGGAAAGCAGAGTTTGGGGACAATTGAGCGAAGGGAGCAAATAGAGACTATAGATTAGTAAATCCACCCCTTCAGGCAAACTATACTTACAAACAGCTCCCTATATTTTGAGAGCTCTGTCTCTAACTGGAACGTAGATATTCGGATAAAATTGAGAAAAGAAGAAGAAAACAACTGGAGTAACTCTTAAAGGAATATAACATTTCAAAGAAACAGAAAGTAGGAGAAAAGAGAGAGGAGAGCCAGCAGTGAGAGTATTTTAGCGAATCTACCCTTTTGAGCAAATTCTATAACTACAATCAATTTACTTCACTTTACTTCTATAGCTACCCAACTGACTATTGGAAATCAAAGCTCATAGGAAATAAATACTAAAATACATTTCTAGTAGCTGTTATTTATCAATTTATTTATTTATTGTCCCTTTTATATTTGAAATTCTGGTTTATAAAAGGAATAAGAGGATAATCATCGCATGAAGGAGATCACTGGTGAGAGTTGAAGTGGGAAAGTAGGTTAAAGGAAAAAGCGTTATTTAGAGATATTACCCTCTTCCTGACCAGATCTAAAAGAGGGAAAGAAGGGAGTAGAAGAGAAGGAAGAAGAGGAGAGGAACTCTGGTGCATTCCTCCTTCTAATAAGGAAGAATATCCGTAAAGTGAAAAAACATAAGACAAGATCTGAAAAAATATGTACATAGGCACCACTTTGTGTGAAAACTAAGTTTAGATAATAATCCCCTTAATGTGCACACAGTGGAATAGTGCAGCGCTCGATACAAAGCTTACGCATACAATATAGGGCGTTTTTCATATGTAACCGGAAAAACAAAAAGTAGAGAAATACGTGATTGTGCAATATTGTTATAAACAATTAGCATACACACTGAAAGTTAGAGAGATATATGCTCACAAATCAAGAGCCTTTTAGACGCTATGGCTCTGAACGTATGCACTTGCTGTGCCTTTAAGGTGGCGACAGTAACCTGTTGTTTCTCTCCTTCACTGGTTCAGGTGGAGTAGGTATACATGGAAGACATAATCAGGTGGCAAAACATAGTGCAGATGGTAGTAAGTTCTAAAACAACCACTAGAAGAGTAAATTGAAAGCTGCTCACCTGATTCTGGAGCCCATAAGTGACTGGCTCCGAGTTTATGCACTCACTTGCCAACAGGGGTGGACTGAGAACCCTCAGGGCCCCTGGGCAAAATAAATCAAGGGCCCCTTACAGGCCCCACCCATACTCTGCAGCAAGTGCCACCCTTGTCCCTCCTCCATGCACCACCTCCAGCCACACCCTACACAATCTTTAGACACAAGGAACAAAAGTGCAATAAGCCCTTCGAGGCCCCAGTAGAGACTACAATTGAGGGCTAATGGGCCATGGAGGAGGGTCTTTCTAGCAGAGGCTATCTCAGTATCCTTTAGAGTGTGTTAGAAAGAATCCCCTCCAAGCCCCATTAGAGACTACAATGGAGTCTAATAGGCTTGGAAGGGGGTCTTTCTAACAGAGGCCATCTCAGCATCCATTAGATAGCCCCTGCTGGAAACAGTCGCCTCCAGGCCCCAGTAGAGACTACAATTGAGGGCTAATGGGCCATGGAGGGGATTTCTAGCAGAGGCTATCTCAGTGTCCTTTAGAGAGTGTGTTAGAAAGAATCTCCTCCAGGCCCCATTAGAGACTACAATGGAGTCTAATGGGGCCTGGAGGGTGGTCTCTCCAACACTCTGGTTCCTATTCACAATATAGCAACACAACATAGCTCGCTGATACCTAGGCCAAGTTGGCTCCTCTTACCTTAATTACTGTTGCTGGCTGGCAGTCTGTGGGCTTACTGGCTGCGGCTGGCAGGCTGTGGGCTTGCTGGCTACTGCCAGCAGGCTGTGGGCTTGCTGACTGTGGCTGGCAGGCTGCGGCTTGCCTGCGGCTGGCAGGCTGCGGCTTGCTGCCTGCAGCTGGCAGGCTGTGGGCTTGCTGGCTGTAAGCCTGTGGCTTGCTGTAGGCCTGTGGGCTGGCTACTGGCCTGTGGGCTGGCTAACTGGCTGGCTACTGGCCAGCCTGTGGGTTGGCTGGCCGGCTTGTGGGCTGGCTGGCTACTGGGGCACTTGTAGATTATTTAAAGAAATAATTCATGCACAATAACCACCACTGCTCCAGAGTAAGTAGTCAAACCGTTTAAGAACAGTTTGACAACTGCTGGGATATGGGGCTGTAGTAGGGAATAGGAACAGTGGTGCAATGTGTGTGAAAGGTTCAGCGTATGTGTGGGGGTGTAGTGTGTGAATGTGTAGGGTGTGTGAGGCAATGTGTGTATGAGGGGGCTGTGTATGTGTGTGGCAATGTTAGCATGGGGGTCTGTGTGTATATGGGTGGGCAGTGTATGTGTGTGTGTGAGACAATGTGTGTAAATGTGTATGGTGTATGTGGGGGCAGTGTGTGAATGTGTATGGTGTGTGTGTGTGGGGGCAGTGTGTTTATCAGGCTAGAGTTCACTCTCACCACTGCGACCACCAGGAATCCCTGGGGGTCACAGTGTTGAGAGTGAACTCTAGCCCGTAGCTCCAGGGCTAGAGTTGACTCTCGCAAGAGCAGTAACGTTGCCATGGTAACCGCGGCAACGCTCTGTGCTCGCGCAAGAAGGACCCAGAGGAGCTGCAGGGTGAGCTCCCAGGTCCTCTCTTCCTCCCTCCCCTGCCCGCATGGTGCCTGCGGACAGGGGAGGGGGGGCAATTGCCCTGTTGCCTCCCTGGATCCACCAGTGATATATACTGTGTGCCTTTTTGTCCCCCCCCTGTCCCTCTGTATGTTTCTTTCTCCCCCCTCCTTCCCAGTCTCTCTTACCCCTCTGCCTCTTTCTCCCTCTCTTCCACTGTTTTTCTCCCCCCTTTCCCTGTCTCTCTCTCCCCCCATCTCTCTTCCTCTCTGTCTCTTTCTCCCCCTCATTCTCCCCCATCTCTGTTCCCCCTCTTTCTCCCCCTCCCCATCTCTCTATTGCCCCCTCTTCCCCATCTCTCTGTTCCCCCCTCTTTCTCCCCCCTCCCCATCTCTCTATTGCCCCCTCTTTCTCAAGTCTGAGGGGGCCGGCCGCGTTTCATGCTGGAGCCGCCGGACCGGGTGGCAGCCTCGCCGGTCCGGCGGCATTCCTCTCACTAACGCTGAAGGAGGCGGAGCATGTCTCTCTGTCATGCTCCTTTGCGGCTCCCACATCCTGTGCTGGGAATTGTGGGAACCGCAGGGAGCATGACAGAGAGACATGCTCCGCCTCCTTCAGCGTTAGTGAGAGGAATGCCACCGGACCGGCCACCCGGTGGCACCTTCCACTGAAGTCCCCAGATGCCGGGCCCCCTGAAGGCGGCCCTGGCGGCGGGCCCCCCTCCCGGCCGGGCCCTCGGACCATGTCCGAAGTGCCCGACCGGTCAGTCCGCCCCTGCTTGCCAATATGTGGAGTAGCAAGGGACCCCCTTTAGATCAGCATGGAACAGATGGTCCAAGAGGATAGTAAATTTGGCAAAAAAACGTTTTATTACAGAAAATTTAAAAATGCTCCAATATGGAGATAAAAACAAAGGAATACATAAAAAGTATATAAATGTAAAGTAATTCCTCTTGGCATCCGAGACAAGTTTTGTCCGCTGTGCAGGGTTTCTCAATCGGCATATTATGTCCATCTTTAGTTCCATGTTTATAGTCAAGCCCAGCATGTATTCATCCAATCAGCGGTCTGTTCGGCAAAGGAATTTTGTATTCATACCGAGCCTTGTTAACAATAACTGTACTTACAACATGAACTTGGAGGTAGTGAGGATAGTCCTGTGAAGTGACCGTAGCAGAAGAAGTGCGCTATTCGGTATGGTGAGGAGCTAGCAATCAAACCCCTTCACCGGTACCATATATTATTCGTGTGATAATATGGAATGTGGACGGGTTGACCCAGTTGACTCATTTTGGTCACGGGTAGAGTCAGTATGTAATGATCTTAATGTTTAATTAGGTAGTAGCTTCGAAGGCAACCTTGTGCGTTATGTTGGCCACAGATGGTGAATTCTCGTGGTCTCAGGAAGCCGTAAAAGGCCAGGTAAATAGCGGTTTCAGAGGTAGTGAGGGGTTTGAAAGGGGCTGAATCTAGCAAAGTAGACATATTCTGGATACCCTTAAGTATAGTCAGATTGGATAGGATGAAAGGAAACTGGCTTTGTAGGAAAGTAGAGAAACATGTGATGTTGGATGCCAGTCAGGCGTAACTTGATGGTATAGTGAGAGAGCCTTAATTGAAGGTGGAAAAAACAAGTAGCGAACACAACCAGAGACGTAATAACCAACATTATGTAATGAAGGACCACTTACCTGTGACGTGAATAGTAATGGAAAGACTTGGTGACAGCAATTGCTGGGATAACACTTAGGGCACAACTTGAAATACCTTGGAACCTGGAGGAGTAATACTGTATACACTGTGTGACGAGACCAATCTCGCCACATTGCATTGGAGAAGCCTGGTTGCTCGCCTGCTGCCTTTGGACTATGGCCCCCTGTTAAAAGACATCTTTTTTACCTGCAGAAAAGCTTCATTCGTGCTTTTATGCCTGGGGTTCGGTAGATTTGTTTGAATGTGTTCTACCCCAGATAGGAATCCCATGGCGATTAAACTGTATTCGTGTGGTCTGAGCGCCATTCACTTAATAATGTGCGCTCAGACCTGAGCTATCTGGGGATATGTTAAATGTATAGTTTTAATGTAATGTGTCTTACCTGGTGTATTTTAACAGTAATGCTTGTTTTATGTATAAAATGGGACTTTGTGTATTGTACAGTATTTTAATGCTTTGTGCTAACCATGTGCATAATGGAGTCTTGTCTCTGTCCTGGGAGATAATTTAATTACTTCTCAATTACCACATTGTGGTAAAAAGTATGTGTAATTGGGTTACCTCTCAGGATAAATGGGAGGGAATCAGTGGGTTGTAACTAATATGTTACTGGATATTTTATACCTCCCTGTGGGCGGTCCTGTATTTGCAAGACTGTAATAAAAAACAGGCTGGTTGTGCCAGCACCTCAGACCACTGCTTGACCCTCAACACGGAGCCTTGTCTCGTTCTTGGGGGGATTCACTGTATGCTGTTAGAGACTGATTGCCAGGAGTGTAAGCTGATTGTCTGCTTTTCCTGCTCGTCTGCTAGCAGCTATTTGGGAGGTTCCAGTTCGGGAGTAGGAGTGCTATTTTGTATCCAGTTCGGGAGTTTGGTGTTCTGCAGTAGCTGTTCCTGTATCTCTGGAAAGGGGGCTGATCGCCTAAACGGTTTTTACCCCTTGTGTGCAAAACGGTCCGTTACACACTGAAATAGCGGATTCTGACAGACACGTGAGCCCTATGAGGGCTAAGGAAATAGATGTAAACATGTAAGTGACAACCAATATATACCTTGCAAACAACTGAGGTAACACGAGCGACTTAGACTAAACCAGGTGGCATGAATATAAAAATACCAGCATATGACGTCAAACTTAAATTAATAGCATTAAGGCATATAGCAAAATTCTAATAATGCAGAAACTCTGGAAAGTAAGTGAATCGGGAACCTGTCATGTATAAGCCCCTGTTGCCTGAAAATAATGGGATAACCCGGGGACAGATAAACGTAGTGATGAACGTAGATAAGTGATTAATATAGCGAGGGCCAAGTTGACAAACCAACTTATATAGGGGAAATAATAGAGTAGAAAGGGTTAAGAACCGGAAAAGTATCAATACTGAAGAAAACCAAAAAATTTGCATAGGTAACTAGTATCAGTATCAACAAGAATATACGATGAAAAGTATCTACAAGGACCATAACGGTGGACAATTGAAGCTAACAAGTGTATGAGAAGCCAACCAACAACCCGTAATTAGTATAACTAAACCAAAGTAAACCTTTGTTAGCTGATGAGTCCTATTAGGGTTGTAGTGAATGTATATACAAGTTAGTTTATATTTGTGAACCATATGTGTAGGCCCAAGCATGGCTTGACATTGATCTCAGCCATGTAAGGGGCCAAGACATACAATAGAAGTCAATATGTTCCAGTAAGGGGCCTAATACCGGAACCTGAAGAAGGCATTGCTGTGAAGCTACGTATTAATGAAATGCTGAATATGAGAGTGGTGACTTTCGCCCTGAAAGAACAGACATACAGTTAGTAGAAACCGATTAAATGGCGACTTCTATGAGTACAAGGTGGGGCGGCTCAACTTAAAGATGACTTGTTTTAGTATATTAATGATGTTACAATATGTCTGATAGGTGTGGCATTGCAACTTATCTATATCCTAGTTCACCTATTAGTGTAAAACTTTCAGACAGAAAGTCAGGGAGCATGACAGAAAGTCAATATCCCATTGGATATATGAACGTACAGGCGCACGTGCTCAATATTGAATTGTGTTATGATCGTATGCGTACGGAGGACGTCCAGTTGACGGCAAGGTTCAACAACGTATTTCTAGTCTTTCCAGTCTCTCATTTATTTACACCTTAGAGGACACGAGTGCCGAGAACGTTACATGGAGGTTTGTATTGCTCAAGCAACTCCAGCATCAGCATTGTCCGTATTGGTACGCTTGAGCCTGAATAGTTCCGCTTTCCTGGCCGTTGCTGGGAAAGGAACATTGCATCTGCGTAGCTCAGCCGTAATGCAAGGAATCGTCCATGATCTGATGAAACCTGATAGGTGTCACCTTTTCGTGTAGGTGTAGTGGACCAGACTGGAGTACTGGGGATTGTCACTGTGACGAAGTGCCCTTCGCCACTTGGTCCTGGAGAGGCCTACTTGCCTGTGACTATGACTCTTTCATGTATCTGGCTTTAAAGCCCCTAGTCTACCTTCAGACAGACTATTTATGTAGGCTGCTTTATTTATCTTATGTTTTAGTCACCCTGTACCCATTATAGGTGCAGGGTGTGTGTAATGTAATTGTTTCTAGTGTGTGTGTATGTACTGTGTAATGTATTGCCTGCTCTCTTGTATTGCTGAGGTTTGCTACCAACTAGGTGGGTTTGGCTATGGAGCTTGTCTAGTGCCCTCTGTTGGTAGCAACAGCAATATGCACTACCTGAATTGCAAGACTGGTTCATTTGCATATTCGGGTAGATTTGCATATTGCTAATTCTGCAGGCAGGTGAGATATTTACTGTTAAATATTGTCTCCCCCCACCCCTTTAAAAATGTGCCATTGTGTTGTTATAAGTCATTGTGTGTTGCTTAATATGGTTTGACTGTTTGTGAGTTTATTGAGGTTTCACAACAATGTTATTGTGGTGACCCTATTGGCTGGTCCCAAGGGAAATAAAGGTTTTGACAGTTCTTCTTGATCCCTCTAAACGTAGCCTTGTCTCGTTATTGGAGGGAGCTGTTATAATCACACTGGGGATTGCTATGCTCTGCATGCTCCCCTGAGCTTGAGTCACTTAGCTCTTTTAAGAGCTTGTTCCTGACACGCTCTCCTTGGAGGAGGGGTCTTCACCACACAGTCCTGGATGCTGGAGGTTCATACAGGGTGGAAGGAAGAGTTCTTTCCCACACAGTCCTGGAGGACAGAAGCTGATCCAGGGTGGAAGATAGACGGCGAGACTCCAGTCAAGATACGGCGGTTGCGGAGTCTGCGGTGGTTGTGGTGTCTGCTGCAGCGCTTGCAGTCCTCAGGAAGCGCTAGGAGCATCCGTCAACGGAGGGTACTCGGTCGGAGTACAAGGAGCTCCGTTACATTGGTGGCAGCAGTGGGATGGCGTCCTACTGCGAGGAGAAGCAGCTCGTAGACACTGGTATCGTATGAGAGGTTATTGAGGGCAACGCTAGCCACTGTGCAGCGTCCCTAACTAGAGCAGCATGGAGCAGGGATGGATAGAGCCCTGCGAAGAGCACCTCAACATGATACGTCGCTACGAGGACGACGCTTACATTGAGGAGGTAAAGAGGCGGTTGGTCTGCTATGGCCCAGACCTTTCGAACGAGGTGGTCCACCAAGTAATGCACCAGTTGAGTGCTGAGAACAGTGCGGCAATGGCCTTTGAGCGACAACTGTGGAGGTTGAGGATATGGACACCTAGTCTCCAGCGGCAGTGCAAGTTACAGGGACCTGAAGGTGTCGTCCTTCCTCCCCAGCGGCAGTGCAAGTTACAGGGAGCCAAAGGTGTCGTCCTTCCTCCCCAGCGGCAGTGGAAGTTACAGGGAGCCGAAGGTGTCGTCCTTCCTCCCCAGCGGCAGTGCAAGTTACAGGGAGCCGAAGGTGTTGTCCTTCCTCCCCAGCGGCAGTGCAAGTTACAGGGAGCCGAAGGTGTCGTCCTTCCTCCCCAGCAGCAGTGTGTCCTACAGGGAGCAGAGACAGTTGGTCTCTCTCTCCAGCAGTAGGACAATGTTATGGGAGTGGAGACAGGCGGTCTCCCTCTCCAGCGGCAGCCTGTGTTTCAGGGAGAGGAGCACAGCACCCTATCTCCCCAGCGGCAGCTTACCCTACCAAGGGGAGACACCAATCTCCCAGATGGCGCAGAGGGGACCGTGGTCTCTGTGCCCGACTTACAGGGATGCTGGACAGCCTGTCCAGATCCCCAACTACCCTCACAGGGACAACAGGAGGAGGGGGTAAGTACGAATTCCCCTCCCCAGCTAACTCCTAACTTGGCCCCAGGGTTAACAGGGGAGATGTTAACCCCCACTGACCCCCACGTTCCCCTGGCTACTGAGCCGGACTATGTCCCAAGCCCCCCAGCGGAAGAGCTGGCAGCTGGGCAGAGTGCAGTCGGCCTCTGCCCTCCCTTTGTCCCTTGTCCAGAGCCTGATGTCCTGCAGGCTATACCAGCAGAAGAGCTGGCATCAGGGCGGACCGCCGCTGGCCTCTGCCCTACCGATCCCCTTGTCACAGGACTGGCCTGCACCCCCCTCCTCCCAGCAGAAGCGCTGGCATCAAGTCCCCACAGCGTGTTGCCCCATCACCCCAGAGGAATACCCAGGTGCAGTCACTGTTTGCTGTGGGTGGGCTGCACTAATAACTGTTTGTTGTGGGTGGGCTACTCTGGCACTTGCTTATGGTCAGTGGGTGACTCGACTAACTTATGCACTGACCGACAGAAAGTCAGGTGCCTGGTTAGTCTTCCCCCCCGAAGGGGAGATATGTGACGAAGTGCCCTTCGCCACTTGGTCCTGGAGAGGCCTACTTGCCAGCCTCCTCTTCTGTGACTATGACTCTTTCATGTATCTGGCTTTAAAGCCCCTAGTCTACCTTCAGACAGACTATTTATGTAGGCTGCTTTATTTATCTTATGTTTTAGTCACCCTGTACCCATTATAGGTGCAGGGTGTGTGTAATGTAATTGTTTCTAGTGTGTGTGTATGTACTGTGTAATGTATTGCCTGCTCTCTTGTATTGCTGAGGTTTGCTACCAACTAGGTGGTTTGGCTATGGAGCTTGTTTAGTGCCCTCTGTTGGTAGCAACCGCAATATGCACTACCTGAATTGCAAGACTGGTTCATTTGCATATTCGGGTAGATTTGCATATTGCTAATTCTGCAGGCAGGTGAGATATTTACTGTTAAATATTGTCTCCCCCCACCCCTTTAAAAATGTGCCATTGTGTTGTGATAAGTCACTGTGTGTTGCTTAATATGGTTTGACTGTTTGTGATTTTGTTGAGGTTTCACAACAATGTTATTGTGGTGACCCTATTGGCTGGTCCCAAGGGAAATAAAGGTTTTGACAGTTCTTCTTGATCCCTCTAAACGTAGCCTTGTCTCGTTATTGGAGGGAGCTGTTATAATCACACTGGGGATTGCTATGCTCTGCATGCTCCCCTGAGCTTGAGTCACTTAGCTCTTTTAAGAGCTTGTTCCTGACACGCTCTCCTTGGAGGAGGGGTCTTCACCACACAGTCCTGGATGCTGGAGGTTCATACAGGGTGGAAGGAAGAGTTCTTTCCCACACAGTCCTGGAGGACAGAAGCTGATCCAGGGTGGAAGGAAGACGGCGAGACTCCAGTCAAGATACGGCGGTTGCGGAGTCTGCGGTGGTTGTGGTGTCTGCTGCAGCGCTTGGAGTCCTCAGGAAGCGCTAGGAGCATCCGTCAACGGAGGGTACTCGGTCGGAGTACAAGGAGCTCCGTTACAGTCCCCTTCTGACAGGGATCTGAGACATACTGCAATTTATTAATAATTAGCTTGCATCAGGATCATTTTACTGGCTGGCTAGCTAGTGCTAAGTGGTGAAGCAATTCAAATGACAGGTGAGGCCCTGCTAGTTGCCAAGTAGCTTGAGAGGCTTTATCTATACTTTGGCACAAGGAGATTTGTGGCCACGTAACGTTGTGGTGGGGTGTTGGCCTCTCAATGACATTTTAAATCATGAGATAGATTGGGTGTGACAAGTGAGGCCCTATTTATGCCACTGTGAGAGGCGGCTAACTATATGTTTTGGCCCGGGGGCCGTTATACCTCGTGTGGAGGATGGGTGTAGGCCTCGCGGGACCACTAACTCCAAGGCAGAGATGCTAGAAACGTAACATCTATTGGTCGCCTAAATCCTTATAAGCCAGTAAAACCTACTCACTAAAAATGTCTATATTGCAGGGGCATGGCCTGCACGCTGAAGCGGATGGTCGCACGGCACTAGCGCTTCGCTCCAAGATTAGCCCACAAAGCAACTAAACACCGCAACCCTCGAAATAAAACCCGCCATCACCCGCCCCACAAGCATGGCACAGCAGAAGGGTAAGAAAATCCCTGAAAGGGCCGATAAATCAGGCTTCTTCACAGCGCGCTCCGCGCCAAACAGAGCCCAGGGCCAGCATGAGGCAGACCAAGATGGCGGCGGAGACGACACCCTCCCTCTCCAGAACTCACCAGACCCTGGGAATCTCCCCGTCACACAAGAGATCCTGAGAGCATGCCTGAACAAAATATCTGACAAACTGCTCAATAAGATCCAAGCATCGGTCACTGCACTGGACAAAGACATCCAGGAGTTGGGTGAAAGAACAGCACACGTGGAGAACCGCATGGGCGAATATGAAGAAGCCCACAATGGCCTAGCGGACCACGTTCAAGCCCTGGAAAAGCAACTTACCTCAGCCCAGCTCAAGCTCTCTGATCTGGAAGACAGGTCACGGAGGCAAAACCTGAGAATACGGGGCATACCGGAATCGGTAATGCAAGCTGACATACCCGAATTCCTGACTGGGTTCTTCAAATGTCTCATGAAATGATCCTTTTGGACCGGGCTTACCGAGTAGCCAAACCGAAGTTTCTACCCGCAGAGGCAGCAAGAGACACGCTGACCCACCTACACTATTACCATGTCAAAGAGGCCATACTTAAAGCTGCCAGGAACCGTACAAATTTTCCAGCAAAATATGGCCAGCTACAGATATATGCTGACTTATCAGCAGCCACCCTACAACGGCGAAGAGAGTTCAAGGAGACAACAGAAACGTTATAGATGGGGGCACCCGGTGCGCCTGATTATTCAACGCAATGGTACCTTCACGCATGTGACAACACCAGAGGAAGGACTGAAGGCCCTGAAGCAATGGGACTTACCGGTCTGCAAACATGGACGTACAACTTCGCCACAGCGACTAAGACAAGACTGGAAGAAGGCGAAAAAATAACCCAAGTTCCACCAGCCTATATACAGATATGGGTGTTACAGATTCAGGACTGAATGGCGATGCCTCCTGATTGAAGACTTACCTATCTGGTATCATTACACAACCCCCTACACCTTACAACACATCTCCTACACAACTCACATTCACATTTGCAACCTAAAAAAATAAAAAGCACACATAGTTATACTTAGACAAGCACAGCAAATGGACAGTTGCTCACATGCTCCTTTTAACGCCAGTTGAACTGTAATAAAGACAGTGTCACAGGAGGCCACCCATCCCCCACTTACGCAAGGGAGGATTGGGGATACACAGATTAAATGGTCTCTCAAATCCAACATCTGTTTGTAGCCGAGACATAGGCTTGTGGATCAAAGTTTATGGGACAAAAAAAAAAAAAAAATATATATATATATATATATATATATATAGTGTTCAAGTAGAGATTGTAGCCGTATTAGTCCAGTGATGTAGATGTAAAAAACAGATAAAATTCTTATCTTGTAATACCTTTTTTATTGGACTAACAGAATTTTTTAATGACAAGCTTTCGGAGAACCTCCCTTTCTCAAGTCTGAAGCATTTCTGAGCAAAACGACACATAGAATTCAAAGTTGAGTTGTGATACAGGGGTTAAAGCGACATGAGTGTAGATAAGACACAGGTTTGTTAGAAAATAGACACCATCTTAGCAGAGGGTCATAAATATCTTGTTGAAGAGAAGAGTAGGGGGGAGAGAGGGAAAAGAAAACCAAACAAGCAGACAGTGCACAGGATGATACACTTTATACATGCACACACACAGAAATATGTATATGTGAACGCATAAACATATGTATATATACATAAACACATATACATACATGCACATGGACTCATATACACAAATATAAATGCACAGTAATATATATAAGCATTCATGCATACGAGTATGGGAAAGCATAGGTCTACACATAGTACTTTGTATATAGATAGAATAAACATATAGGAATACATTTTAAAGTGTTGGTACATATGACAGAACAGTAAGATAATGCTGGGAGAGTGTTCATGTAAAGTGTTGGTAGTGGGACAGGAATCCCAAATCAATATTTAGTCCTCTCTTCTTGCTGTTAAACCATTTAATCATTCTGGCTTCAAAGGCTTTTCTTTCCTGGGTATTTTTAAAACCCCCTTTCAGTACTTTGATTTTTAGGTCCTTCAGTGAGTGGCCAGGTTGGGTAAAGTGGTGTCCCACAGGAGTGCAGTATGATTCTTCTTTGTGGTGTTTAATAGAGTGTCTGTGCATATTCATTCTGCCATTTAATGGCTGGGTGGTTTCCCCAATGTAGCATCCTAGGTGGCATTTTATGCATTGAATCATGTATACCACATTGCTGGATGTGCAGGAGTATGAACCTTTAATGCTGTAGGTTTTATTGTTGTGTGTGGCTGCCACACACTACAGCATTAAAGGACAGCATTAAAGGTTCATACTCCTGCACATCCAGCAATGTGGTATACATGATTCAATGCATAAAATGCCACCTAGGATGCTACATTGGGGAAACCACCCAGCCATTAAATGGCAGAATGAATATGCACAGACACTCTATTAAACACCACAAAGAAGAATCATACTGCACTCCTGTGGGACACCACTTTACCCAACCTGGCCACTCACTGAAGGACCTAAAAATCAAAGTACTGAAAGGGGGTTTTAAAAATACCCAGGAAAGAAAAGCCTTTGAAGCCAGAATGATTAAATGGTTTAACAGCAAGAAGAGAGGACTAAATATTGATTTGGGATTCCTGTCCCACTACCAACACTTTACATGAACACTCTCCCAGCATTATCTTACTGTTCTGTCATATGTACCAACACTTTAAAATGCATTCCTATATGTTTATTCTATCTATATACAAAGTACTATGTGTAGACCTATGCTTTCCCATACTCGTATGCATGAATGCTTATATATATTACTGTGCATTTATATTTGTGTATATGAGTCCATGTGCCTGTATGTATATGTGTTTATGTATATATACATATGTTTATGCGTTCACATATACATATTTCTGTGTGTGTGCATGTATAAAGTGTATCATCCTGTGCACTGTCTGCTTGTTTGTTTTTCTTTTCCCTCTCTCCCCCCTACTCTTCTCTTCAACAAGATATTTATGACCCTCTGCTAAGATGGTGTCTATTTTCTAACAAACCTGTGTCTTATCTACACTCATGTCGCTTTAACCCCTGTATCACAACTCAACTTTGAATTCTATGTGTCGTTTTGCTCAGAAATGCTTCAGACTTGAGAAAGGGAGGTTCTCCCGAAAGCTTGTCATTAAAAAATTCTGTTAGTCCAATAAAAAAGGTATTACAAGATAAGAATTTTATCTGTTTTTTACATCTATATATATATATATATATATATATATTTTTTTTTTATCATATGCAGAACTGTTTAGACAAGTGTTAGGGCTAATTGTCTACAATATTTGTTTATGTTTTTGATGTTGCCTACCTCCATGGTGCCCACTCAGGGTACTCAGCCCAATTTGGGCTCTGCGGTCCTAACCGCACTGTTTCTTCTTCTTTTTTCCTGTATTAACTTCCCACCCTCCCTTCCTTACCCAGACCAACCTAGACCCTCCGAGGAGATGACCCTAAGTAAACTTAGAGCTCCAGCGCTGACACAGAAGTCTCGAGGAACGACTCGACCTGCCACGGATACATACCACGCGGAACCGCCATGGCAGCTACTCAGCAATACAGCAAGTATATATTCCACTGTACCATTATTTACACATATCACACTAGACTCAAACTCCGAGACATACAAGGACACTCAGGGGAAACACAAACCTAACGCGGATAGCGGCACAGGTAGCATTCCTTATAGACCTTCCCTTTATGAAAATATATAGTCACAACGTAAGGTGGCTGAACACCCCTGTTAAACGCCACCTTCTATTACAAGACCTTCAAAAATCCCAACCAGACATGGTATGTCTCCAGGAGACGCACTTCACCAAACCATACATCCTTAAACCCCTCGCATACCCATATCAACAACACGCCACAGCAAAATCTAAAACGAAAGGGGTCTCTGTGCTAGTCAGCAACCGAGTAGCATTCACAGAACATGACCTAGTCATAGACGAGGAAGGCAGATATATCATACTGGTATGTACCATCAATGATATTATCTACACCATAGTAAATGTATACGCACCTAACTCAGAACAACGCAACTTCTTACATAGAACATTAGCTAAAATAGCACCTATTCAGAAGGGAATGCTAATAATCTGTGGAGATTTTAACCACACTCTAGACCCCGGATTAGACTCATCCAAAGGTTCTAAAACGCAGGGAAACAACCCAGCCAGGAGACAATGCACAACATATCAGAGACTGCTAGTCGAACATAACCTCTATGACACGTGGAGAGTTCTCCACCCCGAGGAGAGAGATTTCACGTTCTTCTCCTCGGTTCACAACTCCTACACACAAATTGTCAGGTTCCTCACTGAAGGAAAACACCCAACGCAGGTACTCAAATGCTCAATAGAGACTATCACGTGGTCAGACCACGCACCTATCACTATGGAACTAAAGGACAAATTTGAGAGTCACAACAGAAGCCCCTGGCGGCTGAACGAAGCACGCTTACACAACAAAACGTTCACAGACCACATAGAAAACACACTTAAAAACTGCTTTAAAGAAAACACCACACCAGAGATCTCGGCGGAGATCACCTGGCTAGCCCACAAACCCATCATACGCCAGGTGCCAATAGACTAAAAACTATCCTACCGGACCTCATACACGACGACCAAATGGGATTTGTGAGGGGTAGACAGGGCTCAGATAACACCCGCAAAGTACTAAATCTCATGCATAGCTCTAGAAAACTGGGAATGGAGGGTCTCTTCGTGTCCCTAGACGCGGAGCAGGCCTTTGATAGACTCAACTGGACCTTTTTAAACAGAGTACTCCACAGATTCGGCTTCCCCTCGAAATTCGTGGCAGCAGTAGACGCCCTTTATAACAAACCCTCTGCACAAGTCCTATACGCAGGATTCCCATCACGGACCATAAACATCTCTAATGGCTCCAGACAGGGATGTCCCCTCTCCCCTCTGCTCTATGTACTGGCCCTAGAACCACTAGCATCCAAAATAAGATCAGACCCGAACATCCATGGTATTCCCCTAGGCGACAAAGAATTCAAACTAAACATATTTGCAGATGACGTTCTTCTCACCTTAACTCAGCCGCTCATAACCATGCCCAACTTAATGCGACAAATAGATCTCTTTGGCCACCACTCTTACTATAAATTAAATGCCTCCAAAACACAGGCATTAACGATAGGAGTGACTAAAGAGGCGAGAAACAGATTGAAGGATGCTTTCCCCTTAGACTGGAGGTCAGACTACTTAACATACCTAGGACTCAAACTCACAAAAAAACATGCAGAACTCCCCCACGCAAACTATGTAAAACTCCTAAAAGACTTCGACAACACCCTGAAATCATGGGAGGGGAAATTCCTCTCATGGTTGGGGCGTATAGCAGCATTCAAAATGTCATTGCTCCCAAAACTATTATACCTCTTCAGGACACTACAAATACCTCTACCAAACACCTACCTCAAGTCGTCACCTCACTATTCATGAAATTTACATGGCAACACAAAAAGAGCCGGATAGCCGCAAAGATCCTGCAGAGGCGGGTAGCAGACGGAGGCCTAGGTATACCAAACCTGTATCATTACCACAAGGCAGCGATACTAAGCACTATGTTAGCAGCTCACGACTCCCATTACACCCCACAATGGGCAGTGATAGAAGCCTTTTGGCTTAACATAGACCACATCCGTCCTATCTTCTGGCCGGACAGTACTCGGAGACCAAAACCATTCCAAGGCCTCCCCACTACTCGGTTGCTGATAGACACATGGGACGGGGTGAGGAAAACTTTAGTTACCCACCCAAAGATACCGATGGCACCACTGCAATCCATAAGCCTGATGATTCCCACCTTTAACCATAAGCCGTGGACGGACCAAGGCGTCACCCACGTACTCCACCTACACAAAGGGGAACACCTCAAATCCTTTACAAGTCTACAGGAACAATTTGACCTACCCGCAAAATTACTATTCCCCTACCTCCAAGTCAAATCCCTACTAACAAACAACCCACCCACAAACCCTGAGAAGGGGTCACAAGCACCAACATCTAAGTTCGAAAATATTTGCCTATCAAACAAGCCCAACGTCAAATCTCTCTCCACGTGCTACCACTTGATCCTAAACAATCACCCACTGACACAGGAATACTACCAAAAGGCATGGCACACAGATCTGGGCACGGAGTTAAGCCCAGAACAGTGGAAAAGAGCTTACACGGCACACAAAGGCATGACATCATGTGCCCAACACCTAGAAATCCAACGGAAAATACTATACCATTGGCACTTAGTGCCGGAAAAAATACACAAAATTTGGCATACCTCCACAAACATATGTTGGCGATGCGATAAAGAAGTGGGCACGATGATCCACATATGGTGGACATGTCCCCCACTGGCACCTCTCTGGACACAAGCCCTCCGTATCATGTTGGACATGCTAGGCCACCAGGAGGAAAAAAATCCTGTACAATGCATGTTGTACATATTCCCTGAGAGGATGCCCAAAGCACACCAGGCACTAATATACCATACACTTGCATCAGTACATATCCTAATAGCGAGTAACTGGAAGTCCAAGGACACACCGTCACATACACATCTAATGAACCAAATTGCACTCAATTCGACATATGAGGCCATGCACCAACACCAATTTGGCCCAAGACCTATGCTAGCTAAGGCAAAACACATATGGGACACGTATCAAAACCACACTGACAACACCGTAACACAATAGCTTCCAGCTGGCGAGGATGTTATCCGTGGTGTGGCACTGAGGAGATAAAGCCCTGGGCCACGAACAATCAAGATCTGAGAGACAGAAGACACTTGCTGGTCATCCGCTCTTAAGTACGCAGGAATTATTGCCAAATCACCTGGGAAACCCAGGGTCATCCCTCTACCAACCCCCTTCTCTTCTTCTCACTCCATATCTATACCCCCTGTAACTCTATTCTCCCCACAAAATGTTTGAGACATGTAGTATGCATGATTTATGTACCTAACGTCATTAAGCAGAACTGAAATACCTAATCTATTTGTAACCGAAACATTCTATCATATATACAATCGCGACTAAGGTATCCAAAATGCACGCGCAATTGTAATGCAACTACGTGTCGGAATAAAAATTGTCAAATAAAAAAAAAAAAATGTCTATATTGCGGGAGAGCCATCGTGGCTAAAAACGTACTTGAATTCGTAAAAGAGTTCGTGTAGTTCTGTATTGTATGGTTATAACCTGTAACTGAAATCTTCAGTATCCCCTAAAGGAGGAAGAAAGGGAAGGAGAGGTCTATAACCTACGAAAAGAGGTCTGAAAAGCAAATGATGCTCCTAATTGAAAACCTGTAAACAGCGGCGTACATACCGCGGTCGCAGGGGTCTGTGACCGGGTATCCGCCGCCATCATCTTCTGCGGCCCCGGTCCACGCGGCAAACCGCCAGGGCCACCATCAAAGTGGTCCATCGGGTGGCCCATGCTGTCAGGGCCACCTGATGGATATGGATTGCAAGGGGGCCCAGTCAGCGCTGGACGCTTTAACAGCGCGACCCTGCCCCACGGGTCATTTTTGCACCGGGGCCCCATGGTTTGTGTGTACGCCACTGCCTGTAAAATAACATGATTTGATAAGACATAAGCCATATATAATATAGAATGCACACTATAACCACTTCAGTCGTTGAGTACAATAAAACTTTAATCAGTAGAAAAATCACAATACCAAACAGAATACAATAATAGACAAAGTTAACAGAAATAGACGCAGACAGTAATGCAAAAGTACTGTAGTAAAAATATTTCAAGCCCCAAGACAGAAACATAAGTCACCAACTCCCCTAACGTTTCGTGACCAACTGGTTGCCTTTATCAAGGGTACCGGTATCCATGATCACATGTGTCTGCTTATAAAGCCCTCATACAGCTGATGGCCATCAGTTCAAAATTGTCACCACTCCCGGAAGTGACATCCTCACCTCAGGTACTGGTACAATATTCCAAGTTAATATGCAATATATATATATATATATATATATATATATATATATATATATATATATATATACACAATTATTAAACTTACTAATATTGTGTGTGTATAAAGAACGAAGCGACTAGGTAAAGGCTAATATTATTTCCGTGTTGATTATCACTGTACATACGCCCTGGCGTGTGATAGCGCCATCTTGTTCATTGGCACTAAAGAAACCTTGCGTGACCTTCTACCGACTGGACTACACTATAGGAGACTATAGTGTACCGTTAAGAAAGGACTAACTAAGGTCAGTAGCACATATTTTGAGGTGAATATTTCTTCCTCCTTTTTGTTTTTGTTTTCTGTGGTAAATTTGAAAGGTTTCTGGTTAACTGAGGGGAATAGTGGAGAGAGTAGAGAAAGAAGTAGAATAGAATTAAAAGAAATCAAGATAAAACAACGTATTGAATATTCCGAGTCTAAGAGGCAAAAATGAAGGAGAATTTATTATATAGATTATTTATTTCTTTTCTGTTTCCCCACCTCCTCTTTGATACAATCTTTGGTTATCCAGAGTAATAAATGAGGAGAGATATTAAGGACAAAAGAGTTTCAGATTGCTGAAGATCCTAAATTTTCCTCTTCCTTTTCTCCCTCTCCCCGAAAGGACTCCTAATCCTGCTGTAGTCGCAGGAAAAATCAGACTGGATGGGTAGTGTGACGCACCGCCTGGCCCCCCCGACCGGGTACCTCAGTCTATTGCTGCTTCCTAGTACTTGTGAATACCATAATCACTCCACTTGAACACCATAACCACCATAGACCCCACGAACCGCCGCAGCTTGGTTGGGGTCTCGCCGTCCTCCACCCATCCTGGACACAAGACCAGGATCCAGCTTCCAGGGGATAGTTGCTCAGGTTCCTGGAACCGCCACCTCCTTCCTGGATCCGATGGGAAAATTAGCTCTGACACCTCCAGGCTCTGGAGCCAAATAGGGAATTCGCTCTAGTCCTTACAAGGACTTTCCCAGTTGAATCTTCTGCAAGCTGGAACAGCAGACTCAGATGCAAATCTTCTTTCCCTCCAATAACTGGACGACACACAGATTTAGAGTGTAAGCAGGAAGCTCTAGTTTAATGGGACACACTGGCCTTTTATACAATTTTCCAGGCCAGAGGAACACCCCCTGGACCTGATGGGGCACAGGAACACAAAGGACATAAACCATCAGAACAAACATACAGACTGTGACACGCCTATGTACAGCACACAATCACTCCCCTCTGCTGAGGAGATAATTGAGTAAAGTCCTGTTAGGAAACTCCATTATCTCCAGGCAGAAAAACCACATTTTCACAAAGTTCATAAAGTACCCCACAATCCAACATATCCCCATAAGTCACATCCCCTGATAGCCCCGATCTGGGTGAACAACATATTCAAAAATCACCCAGATTGGTTCAGGAATTTCCTGGAAGTCATAGTATTGACCGACCGCAAGCATGGCCCCATGCCCAAAACAGTTCCAGGCAAATCAGTGCTAACAGTCGGTCAAGTTTGGTAGTCTTTTACAGGTTTCCCTGCAGGGCCCATAGTCTGTGGGCAGGAGGCTGGCAAGTAGGCTCCTCCAGGAGCTCGTGGCAATCTCACTTGAAAAGGGGAGTTTGACACAGATAGACATTTTGTTCTGATTAAGTATATTTGTCGAGTGAATGGTGTTTTTTCTGGGTCTCCTCAGACTGAATGTCTGGGAGTACAAGACGAAACAAAGTGTGAATGGACACAGGGAAACTATTGGAAAGTAATACATGAGGGTCGGAAAAGGAAAAATCAAACTATACATATATGTGTTTGAGATTTCTTACTATCAATACAAAGCGCCTGAATTCTCCATACAAAAGATGTTTGTATAATTTAATGATATAGATGTGGCCTTTATCCAGGAAACACAGTGGATTGAGGATCCTAAAAAGTTATGTAAATTTACTAGATTTCCAATGATTATCTCTGCAAACTTAAAAAATCTAAAGAAAAAAAAGCGGGGGTTTCAATAATTTTTTCTGGTAAACTAAAAGTCGAATTATTGTACCAAGACAATGATCCAAATGGGCATTACCAAGTAGCTGTAGATAATATTAACGATATAACATATACCATGATAAATGTATACGCTCCAAACCAAGAAACCATTAAAGGGACACTATAGTCAACTGAACAACTTTAGCTTAATAAAGCAGTTTTGGTGTATAGAACATGCCCCTGCAGCCTCACTGCTCAATCCTCTGCCATTTAGGAGTTAAATCCCTTTGTTTATGAACCCTGGTCACACCTCCCTGCATGTGACTTGCACAGCCTTCAATAAACACTTCCTGTAAAGAGAGCCCTATCTAGGCTTTCTTTATAGCAAGTTCTGTTTAATTAAGAATGTCTTATCCCCTGCTATGTTAATAACTTGCTAGACCCTGCAAGAGTCTCCTGTCTTTGATTAAAGTTCAATTTAGAGATTGGGATACAATTATTTAAGGTAAATTACATCTGTTTGAAAGTGAAACCAGTTTTTTTTTTTTCCATGCAGGCTCTGTCAATCATAGCCAGGGGAGGTGTGGCTAGGGCTGCATAAACAGAAACAAAGTGATTTAACTCCTAAATGACAGTGAATTGAGCAGTGAAATTGCAGGGGAATGATCTATACACTAAAACTGCTTTATTTAGCTAAAGTAATTTAGGTGACTATAGTGTTCCTTTAAATGTATTAACAACCTATATTCTAAATTGGAAAAGTTTGTTGTGGGCATCTTGATAATGGGAGGAGAAAAACAACTCAGGGCTATGTTTACTAGTGAAAGTAAAAGCATTTCCACACGCACAATGTGAAGGGAACTCAAGGGATTGGGACTGAACAGCTGTGTAGCCTTAAGAGAACCACTAATCAGTGAGGCTAATCGGGGGGGAAAAAGGCTTCAATTTACTAGGGAGCATAAAGATTGGACTCTGGAGCAATGGAAGAAGGTCATGTGGTCTGATGAGCCCAGATTTACCCTGTTCCAGAGTGATGGGTGCATCAGGGTAAGAATAGAGGCAGATGAAGTAATGCACCTATCATGCGTAGTGCTTACTGTACAAGCCTGTGGGGGCAGTGCTATGATCTGGGGTTGCTGCAGTTGGTCAGGTCTAGGTTCAGCAACATTATGAGCCCAAAGAATGAGGTCAGCTGACTACCTGAATGACCAGGTTATTCCATCAATGGATAATTTTCTTCCCTGTTGGCACGGGCATATTCCAAGATGACAATGGCAGGATTCATCGGGCTCAAATTGTGAAAGAGTGGTACAGGGAGCATAAGACCTCATTTTCACACATGGATTGGCCACCACAGAGTCCAGACCTTAACCCCATTGAGAATCTTTGGGATGTGCTGTAGAAGGCTTTGTGCAGTGGTCAGACTCTCCCAAGATCAATACAAGATCTTGGTTAACAATTAATGTAACGCTGGACATAAATCTTGTGACATTGCAGAAGCTTATCGAAACAATGCGACAGCGAATGCATGCCATAATCAAAGCTAAAGGCGGTCCAACAAAATATTAGAGTGCGTGACTTTTTTTAATAATCAAAAGAATGAATACTATATAAAACGTAAACATAAAAAAATAATATAGAACATTAATAAAAACAAAAACAACTTCAATTGAAATGGATAAATAATTAGATGCCTGGGTGACCACAGATCCACGGAATCAGGGAGAATCTAGTCTAGAATCTTATCTAAAACAAGTATAATCTTTCTCTTCAACCACACCATTGGGAAATAGTGTTTAATTTGTATATCCAATACATCTCTCCTACATTTGAAGATTTGTGCTCAATCACACCCCCTCAGTGGGCGATGTCCCATTTCCTTGTAAATGTCTGGCTACAGACCATGTCATAAGTTGATTCCTAATGGCACTTTTGTGCTCCCCTATACGTAAAATCTAAATTCTTGTGGTCTATCCAACATATCCTTTGCCACAAGGTCTTTTTTTTTTTTTTTTAAATGAAACCTACCATGTAATCTGATTGGCAGTTTATGAAGGACTGTAACTCAATCTTGTAACCCAAACTAAAATGTCAAAAGAATTGGTCTTGATAGCATTATTACAGTTAGCACACCTACCACATTTAAACATTTGCTTGGGAGGGAGGGGCATCCACGAATCAACTTTCATTTCATCAATGTTAGCCCTGACATGTATGAGATCATTCCTGAGTCTTTTAGATTTTTTTTAAAAGCCATTATTGAAACCACTCCACATGTCTTCTGTAGATCAGCATCCCCACTTAGTAGGTGCCAGTGTCTCCTAATTATTTGTTTAGGTTTGGTTGAAAATATGTGAACAAAAGGTATACGTTTAGGTTGTTGTCTACTCTCTTGTAAACCATTACCCTGTGTTAGTGTGTATGTGACCCATTCCTTTGCATTCTGTAGTACACTCCGGAAAAAAATTCTCATCATTCCCTCCACCTGTTTGACTCTGTTACTGGAATCCCTAAAAATCCACATGGGACACTCCGTTCCCTTTGGAACGAACATACAATAATTTATTTTTGACTAGCCTTTGGGCACTAGTCCTTAAACACGTGATAACAACCATAAAAATATAAACGTACATAAAGTGAAGAACAAGCAACAATAATTTATCAAATATATAACAAAATTTAAATTTTCCAAATTATGGGGGGAGAAAACACAAAAAAATTGTAATTTTTGCACTTTCCTAATTTGCATATTTTAATTCTACAAATCAATTAATTTTCCAGTTTCCACCAACAGAGGGCAATGGAGAGACAGAAAGAATCACTTTTTAAACAAGGATATCCCAACTTAAAAACCCAAACCGGTGGGGTTGTAGTCCAAATGGCCCTCATTTATCTGCCTCCCCAAAGCAGAACCCCATTCCAGACCAGGGCCCATAGTCAGTGGGAAGAAGGCTTATCTGTGGTCCTCTCCAAGTACCAATGTAATGTAGGATTCCGTTGCATATCTAACCTGTGCCTCTACATGATCCAGGGCTATGCTTAAAGGACCACTCTAGGCACCCAGACCACTTCAGCTTAATGAAGTGGTCTGGGTGCCAGGTCCAGCTAGGGTTAACCCTTTTTTTTTTTTTTTTTTTTAATAAACATAGCAGTTTCAGAGAAACTGTTATGTTTATAAATAGGTTAATCCAGCCTCTAAAGCCTCTAGTGGCTGTCTCATTGACAGCCGCTAGAGGCGTTTGCGTGCTTCTCACTGTGAAAATCACAGTGAGAAGACGCAAGCGGCCATAGGAAAGCATTATGAATGGTTTCCTATGAGACTGGCTGAATGGTCGTGCAGCTCCTGCCGTGCATGCGCATTCAGCCGAAGAGGAGGAGGAGAGCTCCCCGCCCGGCGCTGGAGAAAGAGGTAAGTTTAACCCCTTACTCTCCATCCAGCCCGGCGGGAGGGGGTCCCTGAGGGTGGGGGCACCCTCAGGCCACTATAGTGCCAGGAAAACGAGTATGTTTTCCTGGCACTATAGTGGTCCTTTAAGTCTATGAGGTGATATAGTAAAACAAAGTGGAGGGCAAAACATAACAACTAGTGATGTCCCGAATGGTTCGCGGCGGACGGTGAACATATGCGCTGTTCGGTCTGCCCCCTATGTCATCATTGAGTAAACTTTGACCCTGTACCTCACAGTCAGCAAACACATTCCAGCCAATCAGCAGCAGACCCTCCCTCCCAGATCCTCCCACCTCCTGGACAGCATCAATTTTACATTCATTGTGAAGCTGCATTCTTAGTGAGCTGTCCAGAAGGTGGTAGGGTCCTGGGAGGGAGGGTCTGCTGCTGATTGGCTGGAATGTGTCTGCTGACTGTGAGGTACAGGGTCAAAGTTTACTCAATGCTGACGAATAGGGGGCGGACCGAACAGAGCATATGTTCGCCATCCGCGGCGACCCGTTCGGTACATCACTAATAACAACCCGTTACAGAAACAGGACCTGGGATAACAATGACAACTTTATTATTCCTTAACCATTCATGATGGAATTATTCCATCATGGATGTCCTATGTATTCCGTCACGGATGATCTAGATCCTATTTAAATTGTAGGGCACCCCACCTGCAATAAAAATCATTAGAAAAATAAAGGTTCTACTTCTAATTTTTCCAGTGTAGAAACTCCATAGGCCATTCCTTTTTCTGTATATCCAGTTTTAGACTATAAAGCCACAGTTAAGTTACACGTGTGTAATGTTCTTATTGCATGTTATTGTACCTGCTTTCCATTCACAATGCCATTGTGATGCATTATATTGTCGCAGTAAAATAACATTAATAAAACAAAACAGGAAGAGAGATCACTGCTTAAGTAACCACCTGAGATATCTTTAGCTAGCCTGGTAAGTCCACTGCGATTAAGGTAATGATCTAATTTTAAGTGTTTTCTTCCCAGTAGATGGTTCCATAAACAGAAATGAAATCTGTGAATTGTACACTTCAGTTTCTTCTCCGGATTATATAACCAAAGATAACGAAATCACAAGTAATCGAAAAATAAACTGTGTGGCAGTCAGTACACCAAGCAGTAAATCTTTGAGTCTTGAAACTACAGAATCCGAGGAAGTAAATCTAAGAGATATTAATTCGCCCATAGAACATATACAGACTGAAGATCCATCTCCTGATATTAAGGAGGAATCAGACTCGTGTGAGGAAGGAAATCTCCCAGACACAGACATTTATACACCCACAGAAGATGCACAGATAGAATATCCATCTACTCTTATCAAGGAGGAATCCGTCTCATTGGAAGAAACAAATGTTGCTGAAGCAGCCATTTATACAATCAATAGAGATATACAAATGGACTATACATCAAAGTGTGAATCTGCATCAACTGAAAAACAAATTCTCATAAGCAATAATATTTATACAGGTACAGACCATATCCTTATTAAGGTAGAATCTGCATCATGTGAAGCCAGCACTTTCAACAGCTCTGAGATTTATACACCCACAGGCGATAAACATATAGACTATACGTCAAATAATGAATCCCCATCACATAAACATGGAAATCTCAGATATTCTGACCTTTATACACCCAGAGAATATACACAGACAGAGTATCTATCTACTCATGTTAAGGAAGAATCAGCTTCATATCAAGATGTAGACCTTCTTACCCCCACTCATCATACTGAAACACAAAACAAAGGAAATAGTAACTGCTTTGATGGTGCTAAGGTTTCATCTACCAATTCAGAGCGTGTTAAACATAAGCGTGTCAACAAAGGCAATACATTGACCAGTAAAGATTACATTGGACATGAGTGTTTTAAGCAGAAACCACATTTTATCACACATAAGAGAACTCCCAAAGAGAATATAATTTCTTGTTCTGAATGTGGGAAATGTTTTGCTAAAATGTCACGTCTTAGGATACATATGAAGATTCACACAGTAGAAAAAACATTTTCATGTTCAGAATGTGGAAAACACTTTGCTCGTATGTCAACTCTCAACACACATATGAGGTTTCACTCAGGAGAAAAAACATTTCCATGTTTACAATGTGGAAAATGTTTCATTTATAATTCATATCTTAAGATTCATCAAAAGAGTCACACAGGAGACAAACCATTTTCTTGTTCTGAATGTGAGAAATGTTTTGCTCACAAGTCGACTCTTAAGACTCATCAAAAGAGTCACACAGGAGAGAAACCATTTTCTTGTTCTGAATGCGAGAAATGTTTTTCTCGCAAGTCAACTCTTAAGACTCATCAAAAGAGTCACACAGGAGAGAAACCATTTTCTTGTTCTGAATGCAAGAAATGTTTTTCTCGCAAGTCAACTCTTAAGAAACATCAGATGATTCACACAGGAGAGAAACCATTTTCCTGTTGTGAATGTGGGAAACGCTTTTCTCAAATGTCAAATCTTCAGCAGCATATGAAGATTCATTCAGCAAATTTATAGAAAACTAAAGTAAAAAAGAAAATATTACTCAACTCTTAATCAATCCAAGCTAAATATCTTTACATAGGGGACGTTACCAGTTATGATGTCTCAACAAATTGTCTTTCTTAAATGAGCACTCCAGGCTAATAAAAAGTGTTGTTGTTTAGCCTGTTTAGAACTAGATGTATTTTCTTCTAGGCTAACCAACTAGTCTACCCCTAGGGCAGAAGCCCTCAGGCCCACTAAGCTAAAGTATTCTACTGGTTCTACCTTTACTCTAAATCTAAATAAATTTAAGCAAATGAATTTTGATTAAATAAAAAAGCAGATTTTAAAAAAAGTAATACCTGGTTGCTGTAGGCAGTAAGCAAGTGGGGAAGGCAGGCACTGGCAGTGCCAGCCAGGCACCGTGTGGCACACCAACTCAGTCAGTAGCACAGCAGTGCACACCTCTTAGAAAGCACTAAAACATTTTTTTTAAAAGCCTCAGGAATAGTCTCTTGAATTCACCAAGTGAGAACTGGCAGGCACACCAAAACTCACAGAAGATCTCTAAGACAAGTAATGAGGCTAGCACAGCACAGAAGCACAGTGTGTCACCAACAAAACTCAGTCAAAGAAGGGGGGAGAAAGACCCCTTCCTACTGTTATACTGCTGTCTAGTTATTTTTAAAATCCCAACTAAAGCACTCACCATTGGATAAGCCCCTACAGCATCATGTCACAGGAGTGAGCTGATTAGATAAAGTAATACCTGGTTGCTGTAGGCAGTAAGCAAGTGGGGAAGGCAGGCACTGGCAGTGCCAGCCAGGCACCGTGTGGCACACCAACTCAGTCAGTAGCACAGCAGTGCACACCTCTTAGAAAGCACTAAAAAAATTTTTTAAAAGCCTCAGGAATAGTCTCTTGAATTCACCAAGTGAGAAGTGGCAGGCACACCAAAACTCACAGAAGATCTCTAAGACAAGTAATGAGGCTAGCACAGCACAGAAGCACAGTGTGTCACCAACAAAACTCAGTCAAAGAAGGGGGGAGAAAGACCCCTTCCTACTGTTATACTGCTGTCTAGTTATTTTTAAAATCCCAACTAAAGCACTCACCATTGGATAAGCCCCTACAGCATCATGTCACAGGAGTGAGCTGATTAGATAAATGAAAATCAGCTCACTCCCATACCCCTCCTCTTTGAGTCATACAAGGCATCCGAATGAACTAATAAACGAATTGAGGCAAATCAGTTCATTAGTTCATTTGTTTCTTCCATCCCCATGTAAAGCAATACATTGAAAAAGCACGAATAAACAAATGATTTGTGCGTTCGGTTCATGAACGCTGCTCGTTCAGCAGTTTGCATTGCAATACATTACAATATTGCCAGCCTGTAATTCAAAAAGCTGAACTAGTGATACGAATGAACGAAAGGCACATTCATTACTATGCATTCGTTAGTTTGGTTCAATCCCATCAGATTTGAAGGGAGTGAACAGAACTAACGAATGAAAGAATGATATTGTTAACAAAGCGCAATCCATGGGGGATTTGTTACAGATGATATTGTTGGAGCAATTTTTCGACGGATTGGTGCCAGATATACAAGAGTGGGTGAGGGATCGCAATCCTACAAACATCACTGAAGCAGATCGAAGGGCAGACGACTACCTAGATGCCCGGAGGCAACAGAAACTGGCCCAGAATAAAGTTATAATGCACCCAAATATAGCGCCCACCTATGCGCCCAGTACAACAGCCCCACCACGACAACTCCCACCACCGGCAGGCGCTCCAACCCAGTTCAGACAGCCTAACAACATTAAATGTCACCAATGCCAGCGCTGGGGACACTATAAAAAAAAGTGTCCACAACTGCGAGATCGCACCACATGGATCCGGCCCGGTCCACCACCACCACCACCCAGAGCAGCAGCCCATTGTTACCAGACAGAGGCTGCAATGACCTATGACGCTGGGGTTCCCACAACCACAGTAGAACAGTGGGAAGTGCTCCATGAGGCAGATCCTCTACAGGCCCATGCAGACAATCGACAACACCATCGGCAGAACGTGTACCTAGAGGGAAAGGCAGTACAAGGGCTTCGCAATTCTGGAGCCACTATCACTTTGATAAAGAGCCACCTAATTCCCACAAAAGCGAGGACCAGCAGGACTGTAGCCGTAAGGGTAGCCGGGGGAGCAGTATACTGACTACCCACCGCCCAAGTGCATTTGAATTGGGGGGCGGGTCATGGAAATGTGGAAGTGGGGTTGATGCCACAACTCCCAGCAGAAGTTTTGTTGGGGAATGACTTAGGGAAATTGACATCGGCATATGATCCTCAGATCCCAATGGTTGGAGAGGCCCACCCTGTGGTCACACACCAACAGGCCAGCACCCAGGACTACAACTCACACCCGGAGGTTCAGGTAAAAGATCCTTCCCCATCTGTAGAATGTATACCCTGGGCCCCACCTAGTGAATTTGAAGCCGAGGTAGCCACAGATCCTATGCTACAAATATATAGGGATAAGATAGCCACAGGGGTGGCAGGGACAGACGGGGAGAGATTCATATGGGAGAGGGTAAGCTCTTATATAGAGAGACCGAGAAAAAAGTAGACGGAGCAGACCCAGTCATTATGCGTCAGTTAGTGGTACCACAGAGGTACTGATCCAAATTACTCCGGATAGCGCATGATATACCGCTATCCGGACACCTGAGAGTTAGTCGCACCCGGTATTGATTGACCCAGAGTTTCTTCTGGCCAGGGATAAGTCAGGAGGCTTGCAGGTATTGCTGTACCTGCAATACCTGCCAGAGAGTAGGAAAAAGGGGAGACCGCAGGAAAGCCAAGTTGCACCCCCTACCTATAGTGGAGGAGCCTATTAGCCGCGTAGCGGTGGACATAGTAGGTCCCTTAAGGAAGGCTAGCCCCTCGGGTAAGAAATACATATTAACAGTGGTAGATTATGCTACCAGGTATCCCGAGGCAGTAGCATTAGCTAACATTCATGCAGAAACGGTGGCTGAAGCCCTCATGAAGATTTTCTCCCGGGTAGGATTACCCCGGGAGATCCTCTCCGATCAGGGCACTCAGTTTACTGTGGAGGTCTCACAGCAGCTATGGAAATTTTGTGACATGAGGCCAATAATCAGTGCCCCATATCAACCCCAGACCAATGGGCTCTGTGAACGGTTTAATGGAACATTGAAACAGATGATCCGAACGTTTGCAGAAACCCTTCGGGACTGGGAAAGATTCCTACCACACCTCCTCTTTGGTTATCGGGAGGTGCCGCAGGAATCCACGGGGTTTTCCCCGTTTGAATTATTATATGGGAGAAGGGTCTGAGGTCCCCTGGATCTCATTAAGGAGCACTGGGAGGGAGAACACAGCTCCACAGGTACTCCCATCATACCTTATGTACTGGAGTTTCGGAACCGACTGGAAGAACTAACCCGAGCAGTACGGGAAAACCTCCAGGCTGCGCAGACACGTCAGCGCACATGGTATGATCGGAAACCCAGGGACCGTAGCTTTCAGGTAGGACAGAAAGTTTTAATTTTAAAACCTGTCCGTCATGACAAGCTACAGGCTGCCTGGCAGGGCCCTTATAAGGTGCTGGAGCAGCGCTGCGACACCACCTATATAATTGGCCCCTGTGCTGGCTCAGGGGGGGCGACGCATGATTCATGTGAACATGCTGAAACCCTACTGGGAGTGCTCCGACGAGGTGACAGCCATTTGTGCACCTCCCTCTGAAGAGTTTGACAACCTTCCCCTTACAGACCTGCTAGAGGACAGGAAATCAGGTAGCGACATAGCCGAGGTTAAGCTGGGGGAGCGGCTGAGTCCTCAGGAGCGTAGTGAGGTACAACAGTTGCTGAGGGAAAAACAAGAATCCTTCTCTAATGTACCAGGTTACACGCCCCTGGCAACTCACCGCGTAGAAACCCCAGGCCAGTTACCTATGCGCCAAACCCATACCGCATACCAGAGGAGCAGTGTAGCGGAACCCCTTTTTGGCTGTCTCATTCCCTTTTATTGATTGTTGGCCCTGCAGAGATTTTCCTATGCCTGGAGTACACAAAACTCTAAGTAACAGTGTATGGACTTCTATTAGACTGTGTATAGATTGTGTATAGGAAGGTGTACCCCTCCCCCGTTTCCTGTTCCATTGTTCTCCAGCAGGGCGTTGTCCCAGGCACACTGCCAGACTACTTGGAACTGGTTTGGGCTGGAAAGCCATGCTTCAGTGGACCTAAAGGGACCTCCACAAAACTTTAAACCCCCATAACTCCTGAACCCCTGATCTGATCTGGGTGATTTTTGGATATGTGTCGCACCCAGATCAGGGCTACCAGGGGATGTAATATTTAAAGGGGTACTCCTAGGTTTAGGGGTACATCCAGAAAAGCAGGTGAACTGTGTCCTGCATAATGGGATTATGTGTCACACTAAGGGGAGGGGATGTGTGGGTGGCAATTCGTGTATGATTGGTGTATTGTGTATTACTGTAAATACATGGGATGGCATGGGAGAATGCTTTAAAAGAAGGTTGTGTGATTAAAAGTTCAGTTCTACTCCTGATACTGTGTGTCGTCCAGTGATTGGGGAAAGTGATGGGATATTATTGAATTGGATTGCTGATTGTGCTGGATATTCTCTTGGATTTATTACTTGTTCCTGCATCCTCTTAAAGTACTTGGTGGAGTTTAGCTGTGAGAAATCAGCTCTCCGCTGCAAGAATTATCTTAAGTTTTAATTAAAACTTTTTTATTAAGTTGATAGAATTATCTTCAGTTTAAAATATATATTCGTTGTAGTACAGTCTTTGTGCTTTGTTAGAACAGAACAGAACTTTGTGTAATTTTTTTGTGCTCACATCAGCATCAGCAGTGACGTTAACTGTTCTGACTTTCCATTAACTGATTTTTATTAGTTCGGTTAGTGTGTTTGTTTAACAGCAATCAGTGAAGCTAACTGGTTGCTGTTTTTATTTGGTTTATTTTAGTTCCTGATAGATTGACTATGTGACGGTCCTAAGCTAAGCTTCACTGTAGCTGTAGTAAATCTTTTATTTTATTTTTAGTATTAGCAGATGCTGTAGGTTCATTCTAATTTAAATAATAGTAATCTAAATTCTAGTTAACCGATTTCTTTAAAAACCCTTGAAATTTTTCTAATAATATCACATTTTTCATACTCTGCTTGCACTGCAGTAGTCGAGCAGGGAGCACTTGTTGGCAGACTGCTCACGGCAGATAGTGCAGTATAGTTCCTCAGAATGCACTAGAGTGAAGAAATCTGCCTCAGTACTAGTCTCTAATTTGTTTTTTAACTGTGTTGATCTATATATCAGCATAGCTCCAAACTTCAAATAATCCTTTATAATAAAAATATAAACGTTGGTTTCAAAACACTACAGACATTACATTATCTCTTTATTTTCTTCAACTTCTTTTCTTTCCTTTTCTTACTATTTTAAAATTCCAAATGGATCCTCCTAAACGTTCATTCACTAGTAAAGTGAGGGAGGGTCAATCAGCAACCACCACCACCAATACCACCACTGCCACCACCAGAAGTGGTGGTAGTTTGAGTATGCAGCCTATGCCTCAGCTTAAGCGATCAAGGAGTGCCGCTATGTCAGATTCACCACCTAGAAGGCCAAAGTCTTTGTCTCGCATTTCAGGCCCATTGGTGCAAGATCCTGGTCAAGAAAAGGCACCAATAGCAGGCAGCAGTGCAGCAAGGCCCAGAATTGCAAGTCATTTCTATGGCAAAGGGAAACCAGCAGGGCTTTTTAGGGTCAGCACTATGGCTAGTACTACTACTAAAAACACAACTAGTAGTAGGAGTAGCCCAATAAGTAAGAGGAAACATGTTTCGCCCCAGCATCTTCCTCTACCACAAGCGGGCCTGTGAGTCATGCTGCTAAGAAGCTTCCTTCTTGTACACAGAGGCTGTTTCCTAACCCCACTCCCAAGACCACCACCAGTGCTGCGCCTGCTTCAACCACTGACAGCGGCACATCAGCACAGGAGTTGTTGCCAATGCTACCCCGTGCTCCTAGTCCTATTATTCCTGGAAGTGATATCAGTCTTACCCCCAGCTTTGCAGGGATTGAATTTAGTCTGGCTAAAGAAGAGCTTGACTATGAGCCTGAGAGTGAGGAGGAGATAGTAGAAGAGAGTCAGAATTGTTAAGGGAGCAGCCCACCCTTTTCTCCTGCTACTAGTGCACACTTTTCCCCTTCCTCTCCACTTTTTCCAATAGTAGCACCTGCTAGTGCCACTTCAACCATTAGCAGACCACCACCACCACCACCACAATCATCACTACTATTTCCAGGTTCACTGTTCCTCCTCGCAGTGGCACAGTTACCACCACCAGTGTAACTGTGCCAACAATCACCACCACTACTAGTCACTGTACCAGTGCTGAGGCTACTGTGCTAGCTCCCAGTAGTTGCACTCCCGCTGCTGCTCATCAACCTGCACCATTAGCAGCAGAATCCTGAAGGGCAAGCGCCAATGTTTTGCGCCGCAGCAAAGTTTGGGATCACTTTGAAAGTGTTGGAAATGGGCACTTTGCAAAGTGCAACTTTGTGGGAAGGAAGTTAGCAGGGGGAGAGTGTTGGGTCATCTCACCAGTGCCGGGATGAACCATCACCTTCACAGCCATCACAAGGCTGTGTTATTGAGGGAAGAGGCATAAAGTACTAGGGCAGGCAGCATACCTGCTGCTACTATTACAATGTCCAGTACCATGGCAGCTAGGAGTGACAGGGGAGGTGTTGCAGAGCCAAGAGCTACTGGTGCTGCCAGCCAACAACAAAGGCTGGTTGGAGCATCACAATGCGTCCAGCCCACCCTGGAACAATTTGGGGGATTCCACTCCAGGGCTATGTCTAAACAGCAGTCCAATAAAATTACGCAACTTATTTGCCAGTTAATTGCTGTTGGGGGGGCTTCCTTTTCAATGATAGAAGGGGAGCCTTTCAAACAGTTGATGGAGGCTGTGTCTCAGGAAGCTGCTGCTGCAACTTCAACAGCAGCAGCAATGTCTAGCAGAAAGGGAGGAAGTGTATCTGTAGATTAGCTGGGCTGTAGATCTTTCCTTCTCCATGCTGAAGTGATGGATGAAAAACACACTTCAGATAGCATTCTGCAGACAGTAAGGAGGATGGTGTCTCTTTGGGTTGGAGCGGAGGCAGGCACCAATGTAGAAGTGGGGTTTGTGGTTACTGATGGAGCTTCAAATATAGTGAAAGCTCTGCATGATGGTAACATTGTTGGTGTGCGCTGTGCAGCGCACATTATCCATCTAGTGGTCAAGTCGGCAATCCCAGAAGGTAATAACAGAGTTTCCTGTGTGATTGAAAGGTGCAGGAGGATTGCTGGGCACTTCTACCGCAGTGTGAAGGCTATCCAACTGTTGAGGCAGGAACAAGAGAAGGCAGGTCTTCCCACACACTGTCTATGACAAGATGTCAGTACACGGTGGAACGCTACTGTGGATATGCTGGAGAGGATTTTAGAGCAGCAGAGGGCAATCCATAGTCTGGAATCAGACCACTACATCGGTATTGGTTCTCCACTAGGTAGAGACGATTGGACAGTGATCACTCAGCTAGTGGCAGTCCTGAAAACATGCAGGGATGCCACTGAACATTTAAGTTTGAACACTGCCAATCTGGGACAGGTAATCCCTGTTTTCACCCATCTAGGGAGCAAGATGGGTGTCTTCCTTGAATGCCAAGAGGTTGTTCAAGGCGATCCTTTACATCCTAAAGTAGTAACTCTGGTCAGGAGGCTGAAGGATCAGCTTAAAATTCGCCTACGTAAGCCAATTGATAATTCTCCTGAACTGATGCTAGCTTGCCTGTGTTATCCAAGGATTAAGGGAAAGCTTGCACTCACCTCCAATAGCTTAACAAATTGGAGGGAGAAACTGATCCAGAGGGTGTGTGACTGGTAGCAAAAAAGGGGAATGCTGTCTGAGGGAGTAGTTCAGCAGGAGGCTGAGATGTCGGCTACTTCTAGCAGAAGCATTGGCAGTGGCACTACCACCACAAAACTGAGTGAAGCAGCTGCACTTTAGGAAGAGTTGCTTGAGGATATAGTTGGACCCACTGAGAGTGCTAGCAGCAGACAGGAGAGTACTGCCTCAGAAATAGTCAAAGCGTACCTCTCTGAACCTCCTTTGCCCCATAATGTCGACCCTCTTAGCTATTGGGATGAGAAGAGTGTGTGGCCTGCACTCTCATTGGTTGCACAGAAGCTGCAATCATGTCCACCAACCACCATCCCAAGTGAGCGTGTGTATTCGGTAACCGGTAGTATATTGAATCCACAGCGCTCACAAATGTCACCTCATCTCATGGAGCAGATTGCCTTTCTTAAATTCAATCTGCCCCGTTGTACTGCAAATCCTTTTCACTTAGAAATCTATTAAGTGGTAGAGCAGCTGGTACTTAGTGGATCCATATAGTCCACGAGCACATTACTGCCATGGGTATAGAATTTACTTACCATAGATGTAAACTGTGACAGACCATATAATCGATCACCAAGTTACTGGATCGGTGCTCTGTCACTAAAACTTAGAATATTATCTACCATCTATTACTGACAGAAGCAGTTTTACATATTGGGCTACATTTATCAGATAGATTGATACTGACACTTTGTTTTTACTTACCTAATTTTAGATCCACGGTTTTGGTGTTTACACTTTAGCACGTATTTGGGTTTTTTGTTACTTTTTCTGTCAATAAAACTTTATTATTTTCGTTCATTTTTTGATATACCTTGTTCAACATAGATTGTCCGCTGGCCATTTAGATATCCCATTGATGCACACGTTTCGCATCATATATTAGATACACCATCTCCTGTCTCTTTATTTCTTACTTGGAGTTACCCCCCACCTTTTCAGTGTATCTAATCTGGCTCTACTTGTTCGCTTCTTTTTCTTAATTTTCACATCAGGTTTCAATACCTAATAGAGTCCAGACAATTAACATTATGTCAATGTTTCTGACACAAAAAGGTAAGGATAGTATTAGACTAGTGACAGTTGCAGAAGAGGAATCAGTCAGGAGCTATTAACAGTTTAATTGATACGCTTTTATAAAGAAGTGGGTTTTTAACGCTTTTTTGAAGGAGTGGAGACTGGGTGAGTATCTAACGGAGGAGGGAAGTGAGTTCCACAGGAACGGTGCAGCCCTCGAGAAATCTTAAAGGCGAGCATCAGAGGTGGGAGTACGGACTGAAGATAGACGTAAGTCTTCAGAAGATCGTAAGGGCCTAGACGGGACATACTTGTGTATAAGGGAGGATAGATAGGTGGGAGCAGCATTATGTAGAGATTTGAAAACAAGAACCAGAATTTTAAATTGAGCTCTATATTTTATAGGAAGCCAACATAGGGACTGACAGAAGGGTGAGGCATGGGAGGTGCGGGCGGACAGGAAGATGAGCCTCGCCGCCGCATTCATTATGGACTGTAACGGTGCAAGTTGGGAGCACGTAAGACCACTGAGAAGCGGATTACAGTAGTCAAGGCGAGAAAGGACAGTGGAATGGACCAGCACCTTAGTAGCATCTGGCGTTAAGTAGGGGCAGATGCGCGCAATGTTTTTGAGATGGAAACGACAGGATTTGGCAATAGACTGAACATGAGGCTTGAAAGAGAGGTCGGAGTCAAAGAGAACACTTAGGCAGCGAGCCTGCGTGGTGGAGCTGATGGTAGCACCGTTGACTTGGAGGGAGAGAGACATAGGAGTAACAACACTGGAGGGAGGAAAGACCAGAATTTCAGTTTTGGTCAAGTTTAGTTTAAGGAAGTGGGCAGCCATCCAGTTACAAACAGCAGAGAGGCAGTCAGAGACACTAGTCAAGAGGGACGGGTAGAGATCAGGAGAGGACAGGTAGATTTGCATGTCATCTGCATAGAAATTATATTGGAAACCAAAGGAGCTAATGAGTTTACAAAGGGAGGCAGTATAGATGGAGAACAGTAAGGGACCAAGGACTGAACCTTGGGGGACACCAACAGAGAGGAGTTGGGGAGAAGAAGCAGAGCCAGAGAAAGAAACACTTAAAAAGTGTGATGGGAGAGGTAGGAAGAGAGCAATATCTTGTAGACCGATATTACGGAGGATGAGAAGAAGCTGTTGATGATCAACAGTGTCAGAAGCCGCAGACAGGTCAAGGAGAATTAGGATAAAGTAGTGACCACGAGATTTTGCAGCGAGTAGATAATTGGATACTTTGGTCAGTGCCGTTTCCACAGAGTGCTTAGAGCGGAAACCAGACTGAAGCAGGTCAAGCAGAGAGTTGGACTCAAGGAAGTCTGTCAATCTCGCTAACACAATTCTTTCAAGGATCTTGGATGCAAAAGGCAGTAGCGAGATAGGACGGTAGTTGGATGGGGAGTTGGGGTCAAGATTGGGCTTTTTTAGAATTGGGGTTACAGTTGCATGTTTGAAGGGCGATGGAAATATACCAGAGGAGAGAGAGAGATTGAGAATTTTAGTGAGAGGTGGAGAAAGAAAAGAAGACAGAGTACGGATGAGATGTGAGGGAATTGGATCTAGGGAGCAGGTGGTGGGGCTGGAGGAATTAAGCAGAGCAGAAACCTCTTCCAATGTAGCGGGTACGAATGAACATAGAACAGCAGAGGGAGTGAAATTAGGGGAAGTATTGTAAGGGGAAGAAGAAAGATGAAAGATCTCTTCCCTGATTGTAGAGATCTTGTCAGTGAAGTGAGTTGCAAAATCTGAGGCGGTCAAGTGAGTAGGTGGAGGAGGAACAACAGGGCGAAAAAGAGAGTTAAATGTGTGAAATAGTCATTTGGGTTCGCGGGAGAGTGTGGTTATGAGGGTATTGAAGTAATTTACTTTTGCAAAGGAAAGAAATAATCTGTATGAGCTCAGCATAAATTTATAGTGGAGAAAGTCAGACGCACAGTGAGACTTTCTCCAACAGCGTTCAGCAGTTCTGGAGCATTTTTGGAAGTATCGAGTGAGCTTAGTGTACCAGGGTTGTTGTTGGGGGTGCCTGTGGTATTTAAATGTAGAAGGTGCCATGATGTCTAGTTGAGAAGAGAGGGTGGAATTGTAGAAGGAGGTTGCAGAACTAGGACAGGTGAGGTTTGAGATAGGTAAAAGGAGAGTTTGGAGATTAGTGGAAAAATGCTCTAGGTCAAGAAGGTGGTGTCAATTGGGTCTTAGGTATGCCAATGTCAAAAGTCAGCAGATGGTGGTCAGATAGAGGAAAAGGAATATTGGAGAGATTAGAAGCAGTACAGAGGTTGGTGAAGGCGAGATTAAGAGTGTTTCCCTCTGTATGGGTTGCTAAATTGGACCATTGCGTAAGACCAAAGGAGGAGGTTACAGAGATCAGACGAGAGGCATCAGTGCAATTAAATATATAAATATATATAATATAATTAAATATATAATATAATAAACTGAGCAATAGATATTATGTAGACGGAACATTAGTCTAATCCTATTTACATATTAGGGAGCCTGTGTATTATAAACAAATTCCTGGAAGAATCTAGTCAAGTTAATCATAAATGTATATTCAATTTCTGTTTATATCCCTAAGGTTGGTAAAATCTGAAAGAAAGAGATCACAAAAAAGAACAAAATAAATAATAATAAAAGCAAATATTAAAAGTCATCTTGTAAAATATGCCAGCTTTAGAAGAGGTTCTCACAATACCGAGAAAAAAACTCCTAGTGTCTAAAGACAAAAAGAAAAAACAGAAGTGGAGTAATAATAACATTCTGTTCATCTGTAGTTTTAATGTAAATAATTAAAAAAGTAAACAAAATCATAAATAAATATATTTTATTGGCATATTTTACAAGACGATCCGATCCTTAAAGGCATTTTACCATAAAAAACTAAAATAATTTATAGAGGAGCGAAGAATCTAAAAAGCACTTTAGTACAAAGTAGCAATAATGAAATTACACCCATAAATAACGTTTAAAGCCAAAGCAAGGGTTTTTATGGATGTGGGCAATGTCTGGCATGTAGGAATACTAAGAACAGAAAGCGACATACACTAGATATGGAACCTTTTACAAATAAAAAAAAAATTAATAAAAGACCACCTAACGCTACTCTAAAGGAATAATTTATGTTTTAAAATGTCTGTGTAAACTCCTATATATAGGCAGAACAATCCGATGCCTAAATAAAAGGATAGCGGAACACACGAGATCCATAAAGAACGTGTCTCCAATCACTTTAAAATAGTTCCTAATCAAAACCCTGAAGGAATGTTCTTTAATGCTATCAAATTAGTTAAAAACGATTTGAGAGGAGGAGATTATACCAAGAAGATAGGAAGGGAAGAAATGAGATTCATTTTTAATTTCAATACCATGATCACACAAGGGCTTAATCAAGATTTTGAATGATGTCATTTTATGAATTAATCTCTTATGCCTTTTTAAATATTATGTTTTATGCCCAACCAATAACTGCTGATTTTAAGAAATATAATGATATTTATTTTTATTTTATTGGATTTTACAACATTCTAAATGGATTTTATTGAAGAGTGTTCCCTCAACAATTATTGTATCACTAACAGTGTGGAATCCATTCAAAAGATTCATTATGGCAAGCATATATATGTATATTAATGTTCTAGACTTTATATATAAGGCCCCCATATAAAAATTTGCAGTATACATCAGATGCTGTATATAGCAGTAAAGATTGTGCAATCCGAGAGGGTAGTATTCAACCAAAGATTTTCAGATACGAGGTGAAACGCAAATGCGTTCCAAATACATCACTTAACTGTTTTGGTTGAATAAAGTTTTCTTTCTTCAATGAGCCGATACACATACACGGGTCACACAGAGGTAATATACCAGGAAGTGAGATCATCGTGAAAAGCTACATTGGAACGCACGGTGCATTCCACCATATTAAAACAAAACCCGGAGGTAAAAGACGAGCAGGAACGGAACCTGGAAGCAAAGAATGAGCGGGGGATTTAAAGAAGAAAAAGACGACGAAATTCATCACAGCCAACTGAGGAAGCCTGTTTTATCAGGCAAAACGCGTTTTGGATACTTAAACTTGCATGGACTATAAAGGTGTCCAGAATTTTCATCTAGGATATATTTTTAATTGATTTTAAATTTTGTGAATTTTATTTCGACCTCATAAAGCACCTTCTTTGAAGACACCCGTCTGACCTGGTGTATATATACTTCTAAAGCCGGTAAAGGGTGGAGTAATACAAAGCTCTCTGCAGAATGATTTGAATGGTCCAAAGGCGCACACCATCCGAGTCATATGAGGTTATGACTCCAGGCTTGTGAGTGACACCACTCTTGTTTATACTATATATTATACTTGACAATACTGTATTGCACTATTTTTCTATACTTTTACTTTACAGAATACTTTCCATCTTGTGTATGCATGTATATTATGTATGTTTAGTTAATGAAGACCAGGAAAAGGCAGAGGTTAAGGCAAGAGTATTAATTTTCAAAGAAATATCGGAAAATAAGTTTCCAAGCCTTCAATTGCTAGATGTATCACCAATACCATTAAATTGGCATACGATAGTTGTGGTCTATGTCATGGCAAGGGTGCGTAATTCATTGTTGCCCTATAGAACATTGTTATTTAATTTTGATTTGTGTAGTGCATACATGAATTGGCCGCTTGGTACAGGACAGTTTTCAGAAAGGGTTAATTATATAGAAATGTGATAGAGGTCAGATGGTTTACAACATGAATTGCTCTTTTGATGAACCAAGACTCTGCAAGGTGTGGTATTTTACACATGAGCTGCCTGTAAGTCTGCTTTCAATGTAAATGTCATTTTACCCCACTCCCTCTAGCATGTAAGCTCATTAAGCAGGGCCCTCAACCCCCTCTGTTCCTGTGTGTCCAACTTGTCTGGTTACAACTCCATGTCTGTTCGTCCACCCATTGTAAAGCGCTGCAGAATTTGACGGCGCTCTATAAATATAATAATAATAAATGTAGACTTGACAAAGGTTCCAAGGAGCCAAAACGCTGTTTTTGTTCTGCACTTGATAATAAAGCTGCCTACTAAAGAAACCACCAGGTGTGCCATGATCTACATTGTTCTATTGAAACTTTTCTAGGTTTGTGGCCCTGCCTGTGTGGAGCACCCTGATGAGAGTACTTCCTGGATAGTGTGTGCATACCGTCTCTACCACTGCAATTCAAAGTAAATAACTAGTAGTGGATTCCTTTGATATATGAATTATCATTAGCACTAAGGAGAACCCTTGTGTTCCAGTGTCATATCCAAAAAGAAACATTAATAATAACCCCCAGACGAATAATTAAGCCTCATTGTTTGCATATTTAGAATGGGTAGAGCACAATCATAGTTTGGAAGGAATTATGATGTCCATTATATTAGGTACTAGTAGGGTATGTGATATACCTATGTAATGGAAAAATAGCAACAAATTCATAGATTTAATTATTATTTCTGTGGCATGTCCAAAAAGGAAATAAAATCAAAAGTGTCTATTTGAATTGAAGCTGGTCTGGGAACACAGGAGGTGGTCTCCTATTGTTTCTGTAGGTACACCTTATCTCCATGTCCGGGCAAGGCTTGGAAACCTAATGGTATACACCCATTGATATGTAAATATCTAGTGTACTTGTTGGTGGCCAAAATCTAATTCTGAGTGAGTAAGCATCTTTCCCTGACAGAGACCCCCTTGAATGAAAGACACTGTTACTTTTAAAACATAAGTGAGTGAGTGTGACAGCCACCCTGAGAGGAAATGGGCTTTCGCCGCCAGAGATGTTCTTTTCCTCCTATTCAGAGTGATGCTATCATTCTCCAAGCACAGTATAGCAGTGTAGCTCTTACAAGAGCTAGTGATTATAGCAATCCAAAGAACAATCCCAAGAGCAGAGATTATAGCTGGTATAGCGGTTCTCTACCAATATGAGATGAGACTATGTTGAGGGGAAGCAGGAACTGGTTTATTGGTAGCCAGAATTAGCCTTTTATGTCAGTCCTCATGCAAGGGGCACTCCCACCTGGACCTGAGAGTAGACTACAGTAAAAACATACACACAATTACATTTGCTCTCAGGTCTAAGACACTCCCATAAAAAAATAGGATAATCCCTCCCCTGTGCCTGAGAGATAATTGAGTCAGGAACTGTACTAACTGAATTATTACCAGGCACAGAAAACATTAATTTTAGAATATAGTAAAAGTACCCCCAAAACACATGGAAACCCCAATACAGTCATATCCCCTGATAGCTCCGATTTGGGGGACCAACATATCCAAAAATCCTCCAGATCAGTTCAGGGGTTCGGGATTTTCATGGGCGTCATAGGTTGACCGACCGCACAAGAGGCCCAAAAGAGTTCCATGAAATCAGGCTGTGTGGTCAGTCTCTTTCGGGAGTACTAAATACAATAAAAAGTACCGAACTTAACAGTTCATGGGTAAGTTCAGTCTCTGTTTCTTGTTCAGAAGCTTGCTCCCACCGAACGCCATTCAAATCTAACTTTTTTTACCGAACTTCGATGGGAGTTCTAGTGGTGTTCACGCCATCGAGTGCCCGACTTGAGTTCCATGCACTCGATGACCAAACACCGCTGTATGTGTTCATAGTTAAAGATGGCCACCGCCACTTGTTCGGCAATACGAACGGCAGCCACACAGCTGACCACTCAGAATGTTGAGATAATTGAGGTTAAAAGGGTGAAAAGGGTCAATGTGCAGCACACACCTCCCCTGGGTGGTCTGGCTGTTCGGTAGTTTGTTCGGTATACGAACTAGATGGATCTCAGGTGTTGAGTCTCATATAACGTAATTGAACTACCCAGTGTATCAATTAAGCTAAAAACTGTAAAAAAAAAAAGAAGTTCCCCCCTTCAGAGCTGCGCGAGTGGGGGCTTCTAACTTGAAGAGTGGACCTCTGAATGGCGGGTGGGGGCCCTTAAGTAATATAAGGGGGACAACGACCTATTGTCCTCCCCCCCGGCCTCCACCTGAGCGGCGAGTGGGGGCCCTAAATTAGAATAAGGGGGGGACCTATTGTCCTCCCCCTGGACCCCACCCCTGAGCAGTGAGTGGGGGCCCTAAATACCAATAAGGGGGGAGGACCTATTGGTACTCTGGTTGGTTGGTTTAAGCCAATCAGAGTGCTCTGTGTCATTTTACAAAGCGTGGGAAAGTTTATTGGAATTTTCATAGACTGTGTAAAATGACACAGAGCACTCTGATTGGATGGATTTAAAGCTAACCAGAGTCCTGTGACAGATAATTGCAGAGACTTACCTGTCAGAGCACTCTGATTGGATGGCTTAAACAAACCAGAGTGTTCTGAGCCTAATTGCAGGGCGGGGCAAGGCTTTATAAGCATTCCCCCGCCCTGTGGAGCTCAGTCTGCATAGTGCCCTCCTTGGGTGAAGATGGATTATTTTTTTTGCGATTTTTTTTTTTTTTTTCTTCAAAGTGCGACAATCATTATGGATTTTTATTTGCCCTTTTTTCTGGCTGAAAAAAAGAAGATTTTAGAAAAAAAAAAAGACATCAAATGGTAAGTTTTATTTATTTTCTTTTACAGGTACCCCTAGTCCTCCATTCATTATTTTTAGGGTGAGGGAGGTAGGTAGGGGGTTATTTTTTTTTTTTGGGAGGGGGGTTTGGGGACCCCTAGTCACCTGGGAGGGGGTTACATTTTTTATTTAGAGCCCCACCCGCCACTCAGGGGTGGGGGTCAGGGGTGAGGACAATAGGTCCCCCCCCTTAATGTTATTTTGGGCCCCAAGCCACCGCTCAGGGGTGGGGGCCAGGGGGGAGGACAATAGGTCCCCCCATTATTGGTATTTAGGGCCCCCACCCACCGCTCAGGGGTGGGGGCCAGGACAATAGGTCCCCCCTTATTCTAATTTAGGGCCCCCACCCGCCACTCAGTAGTTTATTTTAAGGCCCTCACACACCGCTCAGGGTTGGGGGCCAGGGGGGAGGACAATAGGTCCCCCCTCTTATTTTGCTTTAGGGCCCCCACCCTCCATTTAGGCGTGGGGGCAATAGGTCCCCCCTTGAGGTAAGAAGCCCCCACTCGCGTGGCTCAGGAGGGGGGAAACTGTATTTTTATTTGTTTATTTTTTACAGTGAGCAGCCACAGGTTGCTCACTGTTTAATAGACATGCCCCTACTAGCGCTATAGCGAGTAGGGGCATAATTTACTAATACCAAGTAATTTTTACTTAGTATTAGTAAATTTGTCTGAAAGACCAATTTAGGTCTTTCAGCCTTTTGATAGATAACTCCCTAATACCATGGGAATTAGGGAGTTATCTACTAAGCGGGTGCAAGAGATGTCCCGAAGTGCCAATGTCCCGAAATGCTGAAGTTTCAAATTTCGGAATGCCGAACTGAAAATTTTCCCCATGCACATCCCTAATATGTGAGGAAAAACTGAAATTTTACTTCCGGTAAATTCTTTTTACCTTAAAGGGACACTATAGTCACCAGAACTATTGCTTAAAGGGACACTATAGTCACCTGAACAACTACAGCTTAATGAGGTTGTTCAGGTGAGATCTATAGCTCCCTGCCGCCTTCCTCATGTAAACTCTATATTTTCTGAGAAAATACGGTGTTTACATTGAAAGCTAAGAACACCTCCAGTTGCAGTCACTCAGAGTGAACCAGAGGGACTTCGGAGTTGATGGAGGCATAATATGCCTCCATCCACTCAGATCTTATGTCAGCAGAGCACAGGGCAGCACTGTGCACAGCATCCTGTGATTCAGTATATCCTCCCTCTGCATGCAGACACAGAACTTTCCTCATAGAGATTAATTGATTCAATGGAGTCCTCTGTGAAGCACATAGCCTTTCACAAGGCAAATCGAGTTAGGTTGTTGATAAACTCCTCCCCATTGCCTTTCAGAGCAATCCCTCGTCCCCCCAATCTGTTTCTGTTAGATCCTCAGGGATTGACTGAGGGCGGTGTGTCCAGCAGAAGGAAGGGCTAACTTGTTAAAAGCCCTGTGAATAGAGATGTCGCGAACCGTCTGCGAACTTCTGGACAGCATCCATGTTGAAGCTGCCTTCAACATGGATGCCTTCAACATGGATGCTGTCCAGGAAGTAGGAGGGTCTGGGAGGGAGGGTCTGCTGGAGATTGGCCGGGATGTGTCTGCTGACCGGAGTTCGCCACGACTGGTTCACCGCGAACCGCGGCGAACCGTTCGCGACATCTCTACCTGTGAATAACACATTCTCTATCTCTCTCTTTGAATTTCCTCTCCTCACCCTCTCTCTCTCTCTCTCTCTATCCCCCCTCCCCACTATACACACCCTCTTACTCTCAGCTGATGATCAATGGAGTGGTAACTGTATCACGTGTGTAATCATGGGCAGCCGCAGGAATTTTTCCTGGGGGGGAAGGGGAGGGCAGGAACATAATTGTAATGACATCCATGCTTAGTCCCTTTTTGACAGTGTCATTAAGGGGAGGAGCATAGTCATTATCACATCAAGCCAGGGTGAATAGTGTTTTCACAACTAACATGTTTGTATTCCTGACCCTATAGTGTTCCTTTAATCAAATTAACCCCTTAAGGACCGAGGACGGTTCAGGCTGACGGTCCTGAACTGTCCTAACGGTCTTAGTTACTTACCCGATCGCCGTCGTTCCCCCGGCTTCGATCAGCGTTGCTCCCATTGTGGGGAGACTGCCTGCAGCCCAGACAGTCTCCCCACACTGGATTAGGACCCCTGTGGCCATGTGATCGCTTAACAGAGCAATCACATGGTCACAATGGGTGTCCATGTGTCTGCCTGCAGGGGGACTGCCTGTGCTGACGGGCAGTCTCCCTGCTAGTGTAAAATCAAAAAAAATAAAGTTAATGTTAATAAAAAAAAATATATATATGTGTGTATATATATATATATATATATGATATAGACATATATTATATCTATATAATATGTCTTTATATCATATATATAATGTCATACTAAGTGTATTTTTATATTAATATGTACTTATATTAATATAAAAATACACTTATAATTAAATTACACACGTATATATAATAACTATACATATTGTATATATATATTATTATAAAATATAAATAATAAGTAATTTAAATTAAATTTAACTGTATTTTAAAATTAATATATATATATATTTATATCAAAATACACTTAGAATGAATTTGTATATATATCTATGTATATATAAATAAATAAAAATAAAACAAAATATACATATGTCCATATACAAAATTACATAAATAATTATATAAATATACATGTAGACTTCAAATATATAAATATGCATATATATTTAAATTCTACGTGCGTATTTATGTAATATTTTTACATAATTAAGTAATTTTATTGATTGCAATTTGAGGGACCTGCCTGCCAACCCAGGCCGAAAGTCCAGAGAATTTAATTTGCTAGCACTGTATTTTACCTTGTAATGTTCTACGACACTCTAAAACCTGTACATGGGGGTACTGTTTTACTCGGGAGACTTCGCTGAACACAAATATTAGTGATTCAAAACAGTAAAACATATCACAGCGATGATATTGTCAGTGAAAGTTACTTTTTTTGCATTTTTCACACACAAACAGCACTTTTACTGATGATATAATTGTTGTGATACGTTTTCCAGTTTTTAAACACTAATATTTGTGTTCAGCGATGTCTCCCGAGTAAAACAGTACCCCCCATGTACAGGTTTTATAGCATTTTTGAAAGTTACAAGGTCAAATATATGGGTCAAATATTTTTACATTGAAAATGGCCAGGTTGGTTACGTTGCCTTTGAGAGCGTATGGTAGCCCAGGAATGAGAATTACCCCCATGATGGCATACCATTTGCAAAAGAAGACAACCCAAGGTATTGCAAATGGGGTATGTCCAGTCTTTTTTAGTAACCACTTAGTCACAAACACTGGCCAAAATTAGCGTTCAATTTAGTGTTTTTACTTTTTTCACACACAAACAAATATGAATGCTTACTTTGGCCAGTGTTTTCGACTAAGTGGCTACTAAAAAAGACTGGACATACCCCATATTGAATACCCTGGGTTGTCTACTTTAAAAAAAAAAAATATGTACATGTGGGGTGTTATTCAGAGATTTATGACATTTAATAGTGTTACAATGTCACTATTGATAAATTTTAAAAATTTATGTTTTGAAACCGCAATATCCTACTTGTACCTATAGCCCTATAACTTGCAACAAAAAAAAGCAGAAAAGCACATAAACACTGGGTATTTTTAAACTCAGGACAAAATTTTGAATCTATTTAGCAGTTTTTTTCATTCGCTTTTGTAGATGAGTGAAGGAATTGAAACAGTTAATCTGTTAGTATTGTAAGTTGAATTATTTTGTAAATGTAGTAGCAAGCTCTTTTCAGAACTGCTTGCAAAACATAACTGAAAGGAAGTCACAAGCTATGACAGTTTCTATGTATCAGGAGACGCCTAACCACAATGTACATGTGTTATTTTGTAAGATTAGATTATTGAATGAAACAGCAGAAACTACTTCCTCTTTTATGTATCTTGTGTAACTTCCTGTAACCAATATTCGTGACAAATATTGTATAAGTACAGAGCATTGTGAATACATTGTCAGAAGACTTTTGGAAAGCAATCTTGTGTCTGTTTCGTTATTCTGCTTCCATAATTCTTCCCTGAGCTCAGGTGACAATCGAGGGTTGGAGAACCGTGACCAGAAGGGATCGAGTCATCAGTTTAGCCTTTCAATGAGTAAAAGATTTTTCAAGTAAAAGTCAAAAAACATGTATTTTTTTACATTTTTCATCTTTTTTTTTTACTTTTTTAAAATTAAAATACATGAGATTATATAAATAATGGTATATAAAGAAAGCCCCTTTTATCCTGAAAAAAAACAATATATAATTTGTATGGGAACAGTAATCGAGAGAACGGAAAATTACAGCTAAAAACAAACACCACAAAAGTGTAAAAATATGCCTGGTCGCAAATGTTCAACATCGCAAAAACAATCCAGTCCTTAAGGGCTGTGGAACATACTGCACCATTATTGTTTCCATTTTTATCTCCCACTTGGCCGTCTGTCACTACATAGAAGAGGTTACTCGCCGTATATCCTGTAAGCGGGGATAATATTGCTGCAAGCCATTCACACCAGAGCTGGATTAAGCTCTGTCAACTGTAAGACCTCTCCTATTTTTACTATTTTGGATCATCTTTCTCATCACTCACCACCTTCCTCCACATCTTTTGGATATCGTAACAAGTAGAACCCTTCCTGCTAATTTCTGCTCCTTCTCCTACTTTACGTCTCCCCAAATGCCTCACTTCCCTGATCTATAGGCTGCCCCCCAAATGCCTCACTTCCCTGATCTATAGGCTGCCCCCCAAATGCCTCACTTCCCTGATCTATAGGCTGCCCCCCCAATGCCTTCCTATCCCTGTCTCTCTCCATACACAGCTACTGGCCAGCGCCGGTATTGCACTGTATTTTAAATCTCACATGAAAAACAACAGAACAAGCTAAAAAAAGGCAGGGGCCAGTGCCCTCCCCCCGCGGACGCCCATGTGTCTATGCCTGTTTTATTATGTTAATATAGTTTACTTTCCACTGAATCAATGACTAGTTTTGATAGCAACATATACTTGCCTAATTCAAATGTATATGTATTGTTTATTTGTTTGATAAGCCTTTCTTAATAAATATTATTGAAAGCAAGGAGTGTGGAGGTATTCTTTTAATTATTAATTCCATATGTTTACTACAATCTGTATGAATCCTCTGACATATGAGAAGTCTTAAGTTTACAAAAAGATTTTTCTGTTCTAAACAAGAGGATGCATTCTTGTATGAATCACCTTATGTGAGTGAAGATTTGAACTCTGTCTGAAACATTTCCCACATCTAGCACAAGAAAATGGTTTCTCAACTCAATGAATCTTCATATGCTTCTTAAGATTTGACATTTCAGAAAAGCGTTTCCCACATTCAAAACAGGAAAATGGTTTCTCTCCTGTGTGAATCCTCTGATGTGTCTTAAGATGTGACTTCTGAGCAAAACATTTCCCGCATTCAGAACAGGAAAATGGTTTCTCTCCTGTGTGACTCTTTTGATGAAAATTAAGAGTTGAAATATCAGTGAAATATTTCCCACATTCAAAACAGGAAAATGTTTTTTCACCTGTGTGAGACCTCATATGATTTTTAAGAGCTGACATTTGAGTAAAACATTTCTCACATTCAGAACAGGAAAATGGTTTCTCTCCTGTGTGAATCCTCTGATGTGTCTTAAGATTTGACTTGTGAGCAAAACATTTCCCGCATTCAGAACAGGAAAATGGTTTCTCTCCTGTGTGAAACCTCATATGTTTCTTAAGAGCTGACATTTGAATAAAACATTTCTCGCATTCAGAACAGGAAAATGGTTTCTCTCCTGTGTGAATCCTCTGATGTGCCTTAAGAGCTGACATTTGAACAAAACATTTCCCACATTCAGAACATGAAAATGGTTTTTCTCCTGTGTGAAACCTCATATGTGTTTTAAAAACTGACATGTGAGCAAAGAGTTTCCCACATTCAGAACATGAAAAAGTTTTTTCTCCTGTGTGAATCCTCATATGTATCCGAAGACGTGACATTTTAGCAAAACATTTCCCACATTCAGAACAAGAAGTTATATTGTCTTCTTTCTGAGCTCTCTTACGTGTGATAAAATGTGGTTTCTGCTTAAAACACTCATGTCCAATGTAATCTGTACTGGTCAAAGTATTTCCTTTGTTGACACGCTTGTGTTTAACAAGCTCTGCATTGGTAAATGAAACCTTAGCACCATCAAAGCAGTTACTATTTCCTTGGTTTGGTGTTTCAGTATGATGAGTGGGGGTAAGAAGGTCTAAAATGGTGAGATTTCCATCTTGATATGAAGTGGATTCTTCCTTAACAGGAGTAGATAGATACTCTGTCTGTGTATATTCTCTGGGTGTATAAATGTCAGATTCTCTGAGATTATCTTGTTTGTGTGATGGGGATTCATTATTTGATGTATAATCCATCTGTTTATCTCCTGTGGGTGTATAAACCTCGGAGCTTGTGAGATTGCTGGCTTCAGGTGATGCAGATTCTTCCTTAATAAGGTTAGGTAGATATTCTGCCTCTGTATGGTCTGTGCCTGTATAAATATTATTGCTTATGAGAATTTCATTTTCTTTTGCTGCTGATTCACACTTTGATGTATAATCCATTTGTATATCTCTATTGATTGTATAAATGGCAGCTTCGGCAACATTTGTTTCATCCAATGAGACTGATTCCTCCTTGATAGAAGTCGATGGATATTCTATCTGTGCATCTTCTGCGGGTGAGTCTGATTCCTCTTTAATATGAGTAGATGGATCTTCAGTCTGTATATGTTTTATGGGGGTATTAATGTCTCTGAGATTTACTTCCTCGGATTCTGTAGTTTCATGACTCAAAGATTTACTGCCTGGTGTACTGCCTGCCACACAGTTTATTTTTTGATCACTTGTGATTTCGTTATATTTGGTTATATAATCTGGAGAAGAAAATGAAGTGTACAATCCACTGATTTCATTTCTGTTTATGGAACCATCTACAGGAAAGAAAACACTTAAAATTAGAAAATTGTCTAAATTGCAGTGGACTTACCAGGCTAGCTATAGATGTCTCAGGTGGTTACTTAAAGCGGCAGTGTCATGGCCGAATGACGGTTTTTTTAACCCCCGTCCTGACTCCACTACATCTAACTGACCCTCTAGTCACCCCCAAATGCCTCTAAGCCCCCCAATCTTACCTATTTTTTACTTTATTTTCTGCCCTGATCTAGATTCAGGGCGCCGCCATCTTTGTGTGGGTCCGAGGAAGTCCCTGTCGGACACGTCATCTGCCCACACTAGATAGCGCTGCGAAATTTCCAAACATGCCCAGTTAAACACTTGGGCATGCGAATGGGAATTTCATCTATTCACTCATTCATCAGAAAGATGAATGAATGACTAGAAATTTCAGAAGAACAAAAACACTGAATATCAATGTTCATTTGTTTGTTTAGTTTATTACAAGGAGGGAGCTACTGGCGCACAGCTCCCTCTTTGTAAAATGTAAAGATAGAAGCGGCAGGGAGCAGTGCTCTCCGCCACTTTCTATACCCCCCCCATGTCCTCCCTCACTCTATGGAGCTCAATATGACCCCCATAATAGCATAAGGGAGATTAAATGCTGAATGCCCCTACTCGCTATACCGCGAGTAGAGGTTTGTCTACTAATCAGTGAGCAGCCTAAGCGGTGGGTGGGGGCCCTAAAAAGGAATGTGGGTGGGGACCTACTGTCCTCCCCTTGGCCCTCACCCCTGAGCGGCGGGTATGGGCCCTAAATGAAAATCCCACCCCCCCAATCACGGTGACTAGAGGTCCCCAAGCCCCTAGTCACCCCCCACCAAAATAAAAAGTTACCCCTACCTTCCCCCCTTACGCTAAAAATAGTGAGGGGTGAATAAAATAACTAACCTGTAAAGAAAAATTAAACTTACCATTTGATGTCTTCTTTTTTCTAAAATCTTTTTTCAGCCCTAAAAAAGCCCAAATAAAAAAAAAAATCATACCCGTCGAACTTAAAATAAAATAAAAAATCCAAGCCAAAAAAAGACAAAAAAGAAAAAGCCAGACGCTAAAAAAATTAATCCATCTTCACCCATGGAGGGAACGGCGCAGACTGAGCTCCGCAGGGTGGGGTAAAGCTTATAAAGCCTTGCCCCGCCCTGCAATTAGGCTAAGAGCACTCTGATTGGTTGGTCTAAGCTAATCAGAGTGCTCTTTGTCATTTTTTTAAGCCTTACCCCGACCTGCGGAGCTCAATCTGTGCCGTGCCCTCCTGAAGATGGATAAAAAACATGTAGTGACGTGTTTTTTTCTTTTTCGTCGGGATGTTTTTTGCGCTCAGGTTTTTTATTTTATTTTACGTTCGATGGGTATGATTTTTTATTTGGCCTTTTTTGGGGCTGAAAAATGAAGATTTTAGAAAAAAGACATCAAATGGTATTTCTTTACAGGTTAGTTATTTTATTTCCCCTCACAATTTGTAGGGTAAGGGAGGTATGTAGGGGGTAGCTTTTTATTTTGGTGGGGAGTGGCTAGGGACTTGGGGACCCCTAGTCACCTTGATTTGGGGGAATTTTCATTTAGGGCCCCCATCCGCCGCTCAGGGGTGGTGGCGGGGGGAGAGGACAATAGGTCCCCCCCACATTCATATTTAGGTTCCCCACCTGCTGCTCTGCGGTGGGGGCCAGGGCTCAAGGTCCCCCCTTCAAGCAGGTGTTGAATTTACCAATACTAAGTAATCTTTATTTAGTATTAGTAAATTTGGCTGAAAGACCAATTTAGGTCTTTAAGCTTTTTGGTAAATAGCTCCCTGATACCGTTGGAATTAGGGAGTTATCTACTAAGCGGCTGCAAGATGAGCCACAGCAATGAATAGGATCGGAGTTTCATTCAATCGAATGAAATTCCGATACGAACAAAGTCCCAAATTGCATTCTAACACGAATGAAGAAACTGTTCTCATTCTGCTTGAATGCAATTCGGTAGTTTTGCCGTCGTTCTGCCTAAGTGAAGCATTGAAAGCTAAGGATTGTGGGAAAATGTATCTGACCACCGGAAACAAAGCACACTTTGCTCCTCCGCTGGTCATAGCGTAGGAAACCTCCAGAAGAGAAATAGTCCCTACTTTGTCGTATGTTTTAAAGAAAACTAGCGCAGACAGGAAGAAATTAATAACAGATCCTGACAGAGGGAGAGAAGAGGAATTGATTGGGGAAAGGTAAGTTCGGCATGACAGTTCCGCTTTAAGCAGTGATCTCTCTTCCGGTTTTGTTTTATAAATGTTATTTTACTGCAACAATATAATGCATCACAATGGCAGTAACATGCAATAAGGACATTACACATGTGTAACGTAACTGTGGCTTTATAATCTAAGACTGGATATACAGAAAAGGGTGCTGCATCAGGAGTCTCTCCACTGGAAAAAAGAGAAGTATAACTTTTTCAAACGATTTTTATTGCAGGTGGGGGTGCCCTACAATTTAAATAGAATCTAGAGTATACATGAAGCATTACATAGGACATCCATGATAGAATAATTTCGTCATAAATAGTTAAGGAGTTAATAAAGTTGTCATTGTTATCCCAGGTCTTGTTTCTGTAACGGGTTATGTTTTACTATATCAACTGATAGACTTATATAAACCGAAGACTTAAGCATAGCCCTGGATCATGCAAAGACACAAGTTAGATATGCAACTGAATCCTCCGTTACATCAGAGCTACCACCAATCTATTCGAGGAGGCTAGGTGTCCCAATCTCCCCAAAGAAAACTGAGGGGCCAGACACGATTATCACATTTGTGGGTATTCAATTAGACTCAACCACAATACAAGCAAGCCTGCCACATGACAAGATAGGAAACATTCTTACCTACATCAACCACTACCTTCAGCTCGGTACTTGCAACCGCAAAGAGCTGCAGTCCCTGCTGGGTTCTCTTAATTTTGCCATGCGTTTCATACCTCAAGGCCGCTACTTCATATCACGACTCTTGTATCTATTTCCACTCTTCCTACACAGGTTGTCCTTAGATACCCAAGCTACGGCAGACTTACGCATGTGGAAGAAATGTTTAACCATTTGGAATGGTAAAAGTATGTTCCTCCCTCAATTGACTGACTCATCACCTACCATTTGGTCAGATGCAGCATCTACCACAGGTTTTGTAGCAATTTTTGGTAACGAATGGCTTTGGGGCAGCTGGCCTACAGCAGTTCAGGATTTGGAGAGTTTTTCCACTACCTCAGCTCTCTTTGAGAAATATCCTATCATGGCAGCTGCCGTAGCATGGGGTCATTTATGGGCAAACTGGCCAGTATGTTGCTACTCAGATAACCAAGCAACCTGTCACATCATCAACAAAGGTCGTTCCAAATCCCTTACGATCATGAGCTTTCTGAGGAAACTCACTTGGTTGGCTGCTTGTCATAATTTCTTCCTGTATTGTTTCCATGTTCCAGGTGTATGTAACACAGCTGCTGACAGTTTGTCTCGTTTTAAATTCCAGGCTTTCCATCAAGCACTCCCATCAGCCGTGCTCACAGCCACAACTACTCCAACATTTCAGCAACTAGTACTGGACTAGACGCCATTATGCATCATAGCAGGGCACTGTCCCAATTAGCAGTGTCAAACAATACGCACAAAACATACGACAGGGCCTTTACATTATTCAAAAGATTCCTTTCGGAACATAACAACATGCAACCATTTGTCATGACATCTTTGTTGGGGTTCGCTTCTTTTTGCCACCTTAAACTTAAGATGTCATACAACACCATCAAACTTTATCTAACAGGCATTCAACACCATATGCTAACCTTACAACCAAACAACACAAGTTTCATGGCCTCTCACCAGATTAAGACTATCCTCAGGGGCATTCAGAAATCTGAACACACACGTACATCACAGAGGCTACCCATAGACAACCATATCTTCAAAGCATTATCTAACCTGCACGATTTAAAACCTTTTGACACCAACACGAATTCTGTCATCAAAGCAGCAATCTACATAGCTTTCTATGGATTCCTAAGACCTAAAGAATTCACTACGACCAATGCCACAAAATCTACTCCTATTCTCCTCTATTCCCACTTAACAAAACACATGGATCATTACATCCTGACTCTGCCTCACTCCAAGACCAGTCAGCATGCACCAGTAAAAATAGCATACTATCCTACGTACAACAGGTGGTGCCCAGTCACGATCTTTGATGCATTCATACAGCATCATAACTCACTACAGTCACAACCATTATTCATTTTACAAAGTTCGGTACTCACCACTACAAGTTTCATGATCTACGTCAGGTCTTTACTCACGCAGCTGGGCCTCAACCCAGCTAACTACTCGGGGCACTCCTTCCGCATAGGGGCAGCATCCACGGCCTCCAGTGTTAACATTCCAGTTCATGTTATAAAAGCACTGGGGCGCTGGAAATCATCCGCTTACTCGTGGTACATACCGAACCCAGTACAAGAATTAAGGAATGCATTCAAAGACATGTCTAGTTGATATGTGTATTTGTATTGGTTGTCTGTAATAAATTTGATTACTTAATTTTGCCCTCTTCTTTCTCAGGCCTACCTCATCGTCTGTTCCGGCACAACCGACTTGCTCTTTTATACCATCCTACGTTCATTATGGTATTTTACTCTGTACTATCATAAGCACCTAACACAAGTATTAAGGCCATTTGGTCTGTGATTGTGGGAGGTGCTTGTTATTCACAGCTAGCCTACTTAAGAGACACCCCTTACCTGGCTCCATACCGTTCGAGGTCAGCGTTGAATGACCCTCCCACCACACCACATTATAAATAATTATTTTCATTTCTTTTTTCCTTGGTAAGCCCTCTTCTTCTCAGGCCTACCTCATCGTCGGTTCCGGCACACCACAACTGACTTGCTCTTTTATACCATCCTACGTTTATTAAGGTATTTTACGCTGTACTATTATAAGCACCTAACACAAATATATATATATATTTTTTTTTTTATTGGGGTAGCCCCCAAAATATTGGGACATCTAAAAAGGAAAACTGTTCAGCAGAGCAACTGACCCGTGCGTGCTGCTGCTCGCACAGTCTCATGAGGCGGTGAGCGGGAAGGCTGAAGTTACACTGCAGCGCAGACAGGTGAGCAGCAGCAGGGTGAGAACGCCGAAAGCGCACACAGACGGCCCACACTTTCTGCAGCAGCTCTGATATATCTGGGTATACACCATGGCGGTGTAGGTGGAAGCAGCGGTGGGGGAGGAGGAGGCAGCAACAGGAGGCAAAGCTGTGTACCCAAATAAAGACTGTCAAACGTTGTATCCTGGAACTGTGTTCCATCTGGTTACTGGGGAAATGGGTCTGACCTATTCTAATCAAAGGGGATAACCATTGGTTACCCAGGTCCCGCTTCAATTGGTGGCAAGCGGCCACCCAGAACTGGCTTAACTCCCATCAAGCCAAGTTCCTGGAGGAGATCACCCAGCTAGTCATGCTAGAGCACTTTTTCAATGTGCTACCCAACAACAACGCATTTGTATGTCAATCCATATCAACTTTCAATGACATTTACTGCGCCTACCATGGTGAGAACGGGTAACTGTGAATCAGGGTTCGATTCCGTACAGGGACCCTGACAAATGGCTACCACATGCAAGGAAGGCAGCAGGCGCGCAAATTACCCACTCCCGACACGGGGAGGTAGTGACGACAAATAACAATACAGGACTCTTTAGAGGCCCTATAATTGTAATGAGTCCACTTGAAATCCTTTATCTCTGATCAACTGGAGGGCAAGTCTGCCATAATGCTCCGCATTTGGGATTCTGTCACCAGGTTGTCCTCTTGTAATAGTTCAAGAGAGGCTGTCTGCGAGATATAGCCCTCCTGCGAGCGGGTCTCGCCGTCATCTTGGGATGCGCCAGGGCCTTATCTGCTCTTCTGTGTTGCAGTTTTTGCCAGAAAGAAGGTCGCTTTATCCGCCTTTGTCTGCTTTGCTTTCTGTCTCTGGGACATGTTTGCAGCGGTGGGCTGCAGCAGCGTCGGTAGGTTGCTCTGGATATCAATTATTTGCGCCCCTTGCAGCTTCAACCTCGGGAGCGCTAAAGAGAAGCATCCATGCGATTCAAGTGTCAGGCCACTCCCCCTTAAAATGTTTTATTGAGTGTATGGAAGGGGGTTAAAGAATAATGTCAATAGTACATTATTCAAAGAAAAAAAGGGTTGGAGAAACCCTTTATATTTATGCATTTTGGAATAAGGAACCCCCAAAGCCACTTATACATTAAGTGGTGTTGAGTTAGGGATAACATTAAATGAAAAGGACTTAAGAACCACTATAGATCACAAACTAGCATAAGCTACTAAGGTGCTTTCGTACCTAACAAAACTAGTAAGGGGGATGGAAAACATTAGTTATGGGATTCTCAGCCTGAAGAGGTTGTGTTATCAGATTTTATAGTTGTCTTGAATGCTGCTTTTGTATAAACAGAATATCCAAGGATATAACTGACATATATGTAAACCGGTTGATCCAAGGAGAATTCTCATTGCCATTACGGTCAGGATTCAGGAAGGATTTTTTTCCCCTCTTTGTGGCATAACTGTAAAAGGCTACACTGGTTTTGTTTTTTTGCCTTAATTCGGATCAACAGCATAAAAGGTTCAGGGTTGAACTTGATGGACTTTTTTCATGTACTTATGTAAATCCCGCCAGGCAGATGATCAGAAGGAGAATTCTAAAGTCATAATCTCAGATTAGAATGGTTCAATTTGAAAAGATCTCTATTTCTTAACCACAAGCAATCCATTAATATCATTGCACTACTTATCTATTGCTGTGGCAAGTCTTCATTGATTTGCAAAGTGAATTTCTATCTAGAATGCAGAAGAACTTGCCGAGGCTGGATAAACCAGGATGGCTTCTAGTCCAGTAGGCCTCAACTTTCCTGAAATGTGCAGCACTGTCCAGGAAGAATACCCCAAGACTGAACTAGTAGCTAAATCCATCAGAATTCCCAGTGACTTCAGAGAACAGCCTAACTGGAGGGGAGGAATTGCAAACATTCAGTGGCCACCACATGTGACTTGTATAACATCATCTCTGTGATCCATATAAAAGATAATAAACCAAATCATTTTGTTCCTGCAACTTACAAAATAATTGTAATAACTGTTCAGATCTCACACTGTGTACCGGGTGTTTGATGATGTAAGTGAATGATATCTGCTCTATAACAAAACACATTGCTGATTAAACATTGTCTCACCCAAGGAGATGAGGGAGTGGTGACTCTCCATCATCACTTCCTTGTAAGTTTCCTTTTGCCCTTTTAAATACTTCCAAACCTAGAAGAAATAACATACAGTGAGATCCCAACATCTTAATACAGTCACCATCCAGACACATCCCTTGGTTTTACTCTATGATGTCCCATTCCCAGCAGCCTCACCTCTCCAGTCAGCAGGTGGATGATCCGATTGGTCAGTTCCAGAATGTTCTGCTCATTGTTTCCCTCATGTATCAGTGAGTGAGGTGGACACACCGTGCTGGAGCTCTGGGTCTTGCAAGATCCTCTAAACACACAGGGACTGCTTCTCTGTATTGTAGGATCATCAGATCTCTTCATAACAATGTAATCCTGAAAATAAAGAAACATGTATTAAAAGGATCTCTCCAACTAAGTCTATACTTCACTCGTTACACAGAACATCACCTTATTACCTTGGAGTTATTTATAATGTTGTTTCATTATCTTATTCATGGAAGGGGAATCACCTTAATCGTGCTAGTATGTGCTTCTACCACCCACCTCTGTCACTGCTACCCCTGTCTGTGTGTGCGATGCCGGCCTTCTTCATCATAAAGTCCTGTATAGTGCACAGGGCTGAGAAATGCTATGCTAGGGCTACCTGTTTATAATAAAGTCTTATAATCATCACAATCCCTACATTTATACCATGACCAAACTATAACACCAACAGAAAATTAAAATAAAAAAATCTCAGTAGGGCAATCCAGCACCGCGAATGACCCACAATCTTATAGGTTTTATTTCTACATTCACACAGGGTCTACCTTGCTACTTTAATAGATTAATCACATGTTTATTAAATATATACCCAGTATCTACTTTACAAATTTCTCCATAATAAGTCTCAGAATATCCATGTTAAAGCACAGGATAAAAGTGTGTAGTTGCTGTGACATTCCCAAAATCCCTCACCTCTCCAGTCAGCAGGTAGTTGACCTCCAGTGTCAGATCCAGGATCCTCTCGGTCATCTGATTCCTGTTTGTGTTTGTCATCATTAAGATAATCAGGCAGCCTGAGAACAGGAATTAGAATATTCTGTAATTACAGATACATAGTATATTTCAATGTATACAATAAATACATTATATACACAGTATATACCTGGGGCTGTATATTTGCCTCCTATACATTTTATATACATTATAATTTATTATTTATAAAGCGCCAGCATATTCAGCAGCCCTGTACAATGGGTGGACTAACAAACAAGATTTTATAACAAGGTGAATTGGACGCCCAGGAAGACGTGCTCCAGCGATCTTACATTCTACAGGGAGTGGGATAAAGTGACACAAAGTAATGGTAGGATATATAACTAGGATTATAGAATAGTTTACGATGAAAGACTAATTATTATTTTTTATTTTTTTTTGGATGACTTGCAGGAGACCAGGGTGGGTTACCAAGGGGTCGGGAGGGAAAGCTTTAACGATTCTTTTGTTTAATTTGCTTTTTTTGATCAAGATTTAACAGAAAGTAAAGAGAAAAGATATACATGCTACAGCATATTTAAGCCTTATAGCGGTCCACGGGTTAGCTGGCTGGTTATCTCGGCTATTATCTTCCTTCAGCCAGTCTGGAACTCTTAATACAAGCAGGCATCCATTTCCCCCAGTAACTGGATGACACACAGTTCTTGAGTCAATTGAGGTTTATTTTGTCGCACATGGTTTCTTAGGCACAGACCCTTAACAGGGGGCGCCAACACCATACAACAGGGGTTTCAATCCCAAGATCCTAATGGGAGATTGAGAAGGGACAAAGCAGCTAGTTTAAACTAGTCTGGCAGTGTCCCTGGGACAACATCCTGCTAGGACCGGAAAAGGAGGGTGAGAGGCACAGACAAGTAATACAGCCAACCTACCCTGCACCAATTATAGGCACAGGGTGACGAAAATACAAAAGGAAATACAAAAGGAATCTGGGGAAAATATACAGAGCATGATCCACATGGGTCAGCTCGCTGCAGTCTGGAATGGACACAGTCTGTTAGTGCCATGCCCGCAACAGCCCTTGTCCTCAGCCAGCCCCTACAGTCTTGGGGTGTGGCCGGCCTTGCACCCTCCTTGGTACAGTTTGCAGTTTTCCCGGTTGGCTGAGGATGATGGGCATAGGATGTGGAGTCCGTCGTGACCCCGCATCATGTTCATCGCTAGGGGCATGACTAGCTTCTGGCTGCTCGGGATACTGGGGAGGGAGCGAGTAATACTCCATCTCCCCCTGGATCACACTTTGCTGCTGGGGTGTGGTGCAGGTGGCACCTGCTCCCGGGGATAACTGCTCAGGAAGGTTGAGGCCATTTGCCCTCTGCCCAGAGGCCAGCGAGGTAAGGGGAGAATGCAGGCTGGCTGCGCTCTGCTCCAATGCAGGGGCATCTTTAAGGGCAGTGGTAGCGGTGGCCGTAGTCTCGCCTGCTACCCGCTGACCAGACCATAACAGGTCGCTGGGGTCAGTCTCAGGAACTTGTGGGCAGAAACCAGCAGTGCTCTAGCCTAATGCTAGCTCTGGGTTTGCACTCTGCCGCTGGGGAGAGAGACTGGTTGTCTCATCTCCCTGCCTGGTACACTGTTGCTGGGGAGTGAGACCTGTTGTCTAACCATTGTGATTTCTGCTGGTGTTGGGGAGAGGGACCGAGAATCTCCTCCTCTTGTAACTGGCTGCTGCTGGGGAGAGAGACCGGTTGAGGAAGAACGAATGACGGACCGCCTGGCACCCCGACCGGGTACCTCCGTCAACCGATGCTCATAGTGCTCACTGAGGACTCCAAGCACTCCACCAGACACCATCAACACCGTAGACCCCCAAACCGCCGCTGCTTTGTTGGGGTCTCGCCGTCCTCCACCCACCCTGGACCCAAGACCGGGTTCCAGCTTCCGGGGGGTAGACCTCTCCTAGTCCAGAGAGAGTAGCAGGAACAGCTCTTATGAGTTTAGAGATATAGCAAACCCCAGAGTGTATGTAGTCCTCCGATCCCCCAAACATGAGCCAAGACCTCATGAAAGGGTAAACAAATCTCAGTTTAATGGGAGCCACACTTGGCCTTATATGACAATCACCATGCAAGGGGAATGCCCACATTGATGGTAGACTGATTTGCAACTTCACAAACCGATAACAATAAGGTTACACGGCACGACACTCCCACACACAGCACACAATCCCTCCCCTCTGCATGGGAGATAATTGGATCAGTAACTGTACTAATTCTAATCCAATTATCTCCAAGCACAGAAAAAAAACCAAAAGTACACTAAAAATGCCTAAAACCCTACAAATGTTACACCCCCTGATAGCCCAGATCTGGGTGACCAACATATCCAAAAATCACCCAGATCAGTTCAGGGGTTCAGGAATTTCCTGGAAGTCTTATTTTCGGCGGGTCTCTCTGTCTGGAGTACAAACGTGCATACTTCACATGAACAGAGCCTTTTAAAGGATCACTATAGAGTCAGGAAAACAAACTCATTTTCCTGACACTATATAACCCTTAGGTCCTCCCCTCCCAAAAAGAGAGAGAGAATCTGTCCCAAATAGATAATGAGAGAAAAATTAAAATGACAAAAAAAAAAAAATCAAAAAAAAAAATAAAAAATCAGTGAAATACTTTATTATAGAACTAAAAAACAAAACAAACAAACATACCGTCATGTATTGTGGTGTTATGCAGTTCACCTTCCAGTAGATGGCAGCATAGTGAAGTTATGCACTTGTTCGGTTGTGTTAGTGTCTTGTGTGAGGTCATTTATGTGTGTGTGTTATGTCATTGTGTGTGTGTACTGAAGTAAAGAGAAGTTCTATTTTACTACAATGACTGAGAGCCATTTGTGAATATATAACATACAAATACATTAAACTGGCGACGAGGATGGGATGTCAGTAAAGGGACACTGCAGAATATATATACAGGAAATAAGATCACCCTGAGTGAGGAAGTAACACTTTTCTTTTGGAATTCTATTATCTACAACTATCTCCATCATGGCTTCTCTGGGACACATGGAGGGATTTGATCTGGCTAATCCAGCCTCATGGGACTCATATGCTGAGCGGTTAGTGTTTTTCCTGGAAGCTAATAAGGTGGTTGATGCTATTCAGAAGAGAGCTGTGTTACTGAGTGTTATTGGATCTAAGACTTTTGATACTGTCCGCTCACTGATATCTCCTGCTAAGCCACAAGACTGCCCATTTGAAGAAATTCTGGCACTGTTAAAAAATCATTTAGCACCCACCCCATCTGAAACAGCGAGGCGTTTCCATTTCAATAGATGAAATCAGAAACCAGGTGAAAGCATTGCAGCATACATTGCAGGACTGCGCAGGCTGTCTGAAAATTGCAATTTTTGTGCCAGTTTAGAATCCTTGTTAAGGGACAGGCTTGTGTGTGGGGTGCAAGGTGAAGCACTGCAGAGGAGACTGCTTGCAAGACAGAATTTAACTTTTATTATTGCACAAGAGGAAGCGCTCACAAATGAGGCTGCATATGTCCATTCAAATGGGATACAATCTTTTGGCTGTTAGCATATGCATGCTCTCTATTATAAAAACACACAAATACATTCTTACACAATATTAACACAGCTTTTTACAGATAACCTTTAAATGTTATGCAGTGTGGCCTAAAGTAGCTAGGTTTGCCACAAAACCAAATGGGGATGTCAGAATCTGTGCTGACTACTAATGTACAATCAACAAAGCGTTGCAAGAGCATCCCTATCAAATTCCAGCTGCTAATCAAATTCTTACCACTTTGGCAAAAGGAAAAGTATTTGCCAAGTTGGATATGGCTCAAGCCTACCGGCAGTTACCTGTGGATGATGAGGCTGCTGATGCACAAACGATAATAACACACAAAGGAGCTTTCCGAGCAAGACGTTTGCAGTTTTGAGTTTCCATTGCTCCTGGCATATTCCAGAATGTAATGGAGGACCTCTTATCTGGACTTCCAGGTCTAGTGCCTTATTTTGATGACGTTCTTATTGGAGCAGATTCTATACAGTCATTGGCTGCACAGCTACAACTTGTTTTACAATGTAAAAGCCCCGTCGCCGCCGTAATGCAGCAGCCCATGCTACTGCAGAAGATGGCTGCCTGACCCCCAGCCCCATACACACACTGTGGCAAACCCTGCCACTTGGACTAATTATTCTGTGTGAATAAGTGCATTTCACCAAGGGAATAACCACACGAATGGACTTTCATGTTATTGTAATGTTTTTATTCGAATGTCTGAAACTACCGGGAGACAACCCTGGGGTGGTCGTGTGTTTCCCATTAACGGAGTGATACATTGTTGTGAAGGGAATTAAGTACCTGTATGTGTGGCCGCCATTTCGCCTACCGAACACGTGGCGGCGGCCATCTTACGCACGAACAGCGGTACTTCGTTGTCGAACGCCTGGAACTCAAACCGAGCATTCGACTAACCAAGCACCGCTAAGACCTCCAGCATGCTCCGACAATACGAATCCAACCCACGAAAGCCCCGGCGTTCAGTAGATAGATTCCCCTAAACGAGGGGAATCCTACGAATGGTAGCAATCGCATGGATGGCTAACTGTTCGGTATTTGTGATTCACTAAAATAGACCGACCGCAGGGCCAGAATTCATGGAACTGTTTTCGGCTACTGAGTTCCTGCGGTCGGTCAAATCTTTAAAAGTCTGTAACTCCCGAACCCCTGGTCCGATCTGGGTGAATTTCAAGTATGTTGCTCACCCAAATCAGACCTATCAGGGGACCCCTTATTTGTCCCTGTACCCCCTGTATTTAGGGGACATCCAGAAAGTGGGGAAAACTCTGTCCCCACTAATCTGTTTAAGTGCTAATCTAAGGGGAGGAGAGCGAAGGGAGGTGACCGGGTTACAATTGGTTACTGTACAAATTATGAAAGTTACCTCCCTTGCATGGGAGAAATGCATAAAAGCAGACCTGTGAATAAAGCTGACAGTTGACTCCCAGACTATGTGTCGTCTAGTCCTTGGGGAAGTGGATTATGCTGTGTTCCTGTGATTTTGTAT